GTGGACAGTGATAAGGTCCCAAGCTAGAAAATGTATTTACATTATTTTCTCTTGGCAGAGCAATTTTCTCCAAACAACTTTTTGGACAGTTCTTTCGCGTGAGGAAGGACCATCTCGGTGGTTTGGTTTTCTTGGGCTCATTAAAATGCAGCTAATGTGGACTAAACAGGACCCTTAGAGGACCTGAGACAGCTTGCTAATCCAACAGCAGACAATTACCAGTTTTGGGGGGTTAATTCTCTGACAGTTTAGAGGTCTGAGCTAGATCTCTAACGGGTTATCCGGGAGCTGGTGTGGCACAAAGTAGGAGAAGGATCCAGCTGGCATGAGGTAGGCAGGGCAGGATGTCCCTTTGGGTGACAGCTGGGTGCTGGAGTCTTCCTCTGGTGTTGGGCACCATCAAAGCAGTTTGTGAAGAGTCAGAGAAGGTGTTGAAAGAGGGAGAAAGACTGCAAGCAGCTATCCATTTCAGCCCCAGAACAGACAGAGCACCCACATGGTCTGTGGGAGACAAGTTCAAGCCTGCTTAACGCTAGAGGTGGACTCAAAGCCAAGTCCCAGCTGTGCTGTGTATACGTGTCATGGTTTCAGGATGAACCTCTCCTTATTTTGCTCTACTTGTATCCTAAATAAATAAAAAAATGGATCAGAGATTTGCACTTCAGTCTCTACTGTGCGATCTACCCTTTGGGCTACCATATCAGTGTCTGTGATAACCTTTTAATTTAATACACAGTAGGATAATTCTAGGAGGAAAGATTAAGACACAATCCCATGGGGGGAGGAGGGGGGAAGATGGCTTTGCTGATCAAAGAGGTGTGTGACAAGGTTTTAAGTTGCTGCTTGCATATGGGCACTGAAAGGATTCAGTGAAGCAGGGGAAACTTGTGGGGGGCCCCTGGGGTGAGATGAGAAGAAGGTCAGCAGAAACATCTGTGCACAAAGGACTTTGGATGTACCTCCTGGGGGGAGCTCTTAGGTGAGGGGGATATGGAGACCATGAGGAGATCATCACCCCCATCTTCCAAGAAATGTGGCTGGAGGTCTTTAGAATGTATGGATCTCAATTATAACTCGTTACTGGTAGAAAAGTGAAATGGAGAAGAGAAATTTGTTTCCTGTCAAGCTTCAGCTAAAAACTGAAATAAAAAAAAAAGCAAAACCCAAGAATTCTACTGTGAGACATACTGATGCTTGTCAATATTTGTGGCTGAATTATTACTTAGCCTTAATAATTAATGACTGTCATTAACGGCTGCCCAAGCAAGAGGAAAGCAGTAGGTGAATTATCCCTGACTTCTTTTCCATCAGCAGAGCAGGTCAGTAGTGCATAAAGACAAATCCACCGTCGGGTGAGCTGGGGTGAGCAGGCAGCCTCTTGGGCACACCAAGGGAGATGATGCTTGTGGGTCAGTGGTGTCTCACGTGCTTCTGGGAGGAGTTGTGGCTCCTGTCAGCCTTGAGCACAAAACTATGAGCTGTGTCCTCTCTAAAATCACTCTTCTCAGTGTGACAGCCCTTCTCGGTGTTGTTGGCAAGCTGCATTGGAGTCACCTGTGGGCACATGTAGTTTTCCAGGTCCTTCAGGGTCACACCAAGACAGTGCAGCTGCTGCAGGCTGGTTCAGATCTCTGCGTTAGCCTGGACATGGGAACAGAACAGGACCAACACTGCCAAAAGTATTCCTGCAACCCTTCATTGACAGTTTCAGCGAGGACTTTTTGGTGCTGTACTCATCCCTTCTCAAAGAAGTCTTTGGTGATGTTTGACTAGCAAGGACCAAAAAGCAAATATTAGAGTATATGTGCACAGAAGGAGGAGGTGAAACCGAGCATCTCAAATTATGCTTTAAGTATTGCAATATCCAGTAATGAAAGCATCTGTAATGGGTTCTGAACTATAATTTTGATTACATGCCCAGAGCAAGATAACAGAAATCACCTTTGGTGTCTTCTGAGGAGTAAATCCTTGGTTGTGCCTTTTCACTTAAACTGTAGGTGCCTTTAACCAGCGGAAAAGCACTCATATGAGCAGTCATATTTTTGGCTGGGCCAGCAGCACATTGTACTTCTCCCTTTCTGCTGTCCTCTGAATAAGACTGAAAAAGAGAGATATAGGAGGGAACTGGGCACTGGTACGTGTCCAAGACCCAGTATCCTGGAAGATGACTTAACAAATCTGATTCAAGGCTGAATCTGTTAGTTTGAGTGATCATTTAGAAAATGAGAATACTCTCCATAGGTGCCTTCCTGAAGAAGATAGAGTCAAAGTTTTGAAAGCAGAAGTGAATCGGTCAGTCATCTTTGACTCGTTGCAATGTGTTACAACCAACCTCATACAAAAAAAAAAAAAAAAAAATAAAAAATTGAGATTTACTTCCTTGGTTATTCGCTGCAATTATTCACCCACTGTGACCTGAGAATTTTTATATCTCACTTGGTCTGCAGGAAGATTCCTCAGCAAGCTCCTCTGAGCAGCCAACTGCAAAAAACATTGAAATATGATAAGCATATAAGAGCATTGAATGGTAGAATTCTCCATCACCCACAGCCTCTGTTAGTTGTGCTTCCAGGCCAGATGAAGCTAGAGTGTACGTACAGCTGTTCTGAGTTGTAAAATACATTTTGAAAGGGGATTGATTCATCTGTGTTTCATGAGATTGAATTAAGCAAAAGAAAAAAGTATAAAGACTTGTCTTTTTTCCAAACATTTAATAAAAATATTCAGTCTCACTGGAACATAATAGAGATGTGCTTTCAGCACACAGATGTGCAGTAGTGAGAGCCACGTTTTATGTAAGCTGCTCATTCTTTTGTGCAGTGTTAAGAACTGAATGTACTTTCATACTCCTTTTTTTGGCCTTGACATGAACTAATGTCAAAGCAAATGAAGACCTGGTGGTAAATCCTTTTCAGCACTGCTAATGATTGCAGTCATTGCGGAGCTGTTACTGGCTGTCTGATCATCTTTGTGAAATTGGACTTGTGATATGTAGACCTTGCATTCTGAATTTTGATTTCTGTAACAAAATTTGCTGGTGTGACTCGGTATTCAGAGGAGCAGAAAGGTGTGTGGGTAACATACCGCAGAGTGTATTCAAAGCAGATTTTATCGTGAGCTTCAGTGGGTAAAGTCATTAGGGTTATAATGAGTGATTTGAACAGAATTACATAGGGAAAAATTCACACCAGCATCTCTTCCTTATAAAAATGAGAAAACAGATTAACAACTGGATTTTTTTTTGACATGAAAGGCAGAATGTGCAGAAGAGCAATTGAGCTGATTTTTTTTTTTTTTTTTCCAGTTCCATTGCTTGTTTTATATTTAGGGGTTTGTATTATGGCTGCCTAGCTTTTGCAACCACAAATATGCCCAAACCCTTGTCTGGTTCATTCAGGTTGAAGAATAAGCAACATAAAATGACTACTTTCTTCAACACCTGCACACTCCATTCCTTAGCATTTTGCAAATGTAAGAGGTGCAGATATGTGTTTTGACTTTGATCTTGTAAACCGAAACTGTTCAAGTGGTAGATCCTGATCTAGATCTGGGCAGCAAGGAGCTGTTGCTCAGGTTTCCCCAGAAACCCACATTTGTCTGGGTGAGCCTCTATTTTCAGTTGTTTCTCCAGTTGCAATGGAAGCAGCTGCACACGCAGGCGGTGCGGCTGCTGGGCAGAGCCAGACCTGGCACACTGCTTTCCGTAAAATGAGCCCATGGAGCTTGGTAAAAAATGAGGTACCCTCCTGTCAAGATGTGTTGGTCATCTCAGAGGTTGGGTGCATAACTGTGTGTGACTGCTGGAGAGCACAAAGCCTGTTTCACTAGAGACACTTAAAAATTTATCCTCTGTTTTTGTGTAGCTGACGTTTATTTACTGCTGCTTTAGTAACTGAACAGTGTGGGTCTGCCTCTCCTGTATGTGGTCCCCCTCCTGAACATGATTTTCTTCCATTCTCTCATGCTCACCTATCCCTACTGTCACCTCCAAAATAAGGAGCGACTATTCCCTCCTCCAGCTGATCATTCCCCCACCTCTTCCATAGGTGTAGGCTACATCCTACCCAGCAAAAGCTGTTTGAAAGGGGAAATCTAATCCAGCATCATCTGTGTCCATACTTCTAAATAGTGGATAGGCAGGCACAAGATGAAACAGAGTGATTCCTCTCCTCACTGCTTAGTACTGGCCTTCTCAAGAAAAACCTTGTCTTGAAAGATAACTGAAACAGTTCAAAACAGGCCTGGAAGTGGATTAAAATTAAAGAGCAGTCTGTGGTCTTGTGCTTGAAGCTACTGCCTGTATCTATTTTATTTAGCTGCACAGACATACCTGTAGCTGTTTATTCTCCTTCTGTTAGCAGTCACAGGAGAAAAGCATTGTCAGTAGGTGATTTATCCCGCCTATTCTAGACATTACTTTAAGGTGAAACGAATCACCCTTTGGTGATTCTCTATTGACTAGGGAGGGAGCCTACATAATGGAGTTCAAATGGCTGAAGGTAGGCAGGCGCTTCCTACATGTGCAATTGTCCCTTCAGTAACACTAGACCTGCACTGGGGTTTTCCTGGCAGAGCTTTCAGTGGCTTTCATGTGGGATTTTTCTGTGCAAGAGTCAGAGCAGGGGAAAACACCGTGCATGTTCCCTGTTACCCCATTTCCACCCTGCTTCACCTCTCCCCACCGCCTTACCCTTGGGGGAGGCTGGGACACAGGATCACAAACGTGGCTGGGTAACTTCTCCTGCTGCGTGGAGATGATTAACTCTTCATCCCGGTCACCAAGCAGCTATCCAAACCTCAGGATCCTGTGGAGGCAGGTGGATTTCTTTGAGGGACTCTATTTTATTTTCTGATGCTATAAAAAAAATACCTCAGAGTGATGACAGTACTTTTAAGCAACAAGCAGCTACTACAAAGTCTCTTCTCTATTTCCATATAATTAAAAGAACTTCTAATGCAAAATAACAAAGTTTGGACTTCTCTTTTCTCTTTCTGCTCAGAAATCGAAGCAAAGGAAGCGTGTGACTGGTTACGTGCAGCTGGATTTCCCCAGTATGCTCAGTTCTATGAGGGTAAGTAGGTTTTTCTCCTCTTTGTGTGGTACTGAAAGCACACTGGGCCCTTGCCAGGAGAGCTGCAGTCAGCCAACACTGTGTTTGACTGAGTTATGGCCATGGCTGATTGCTTCACAAAGCCTCAGCTGCTAGAGTCATACTAGTGCCTAAAGAAGAGTAAGGTTCTTGCCCTCATAGCCATGGGAAGAAAAAAAAGAGGGACATAGTTTGTGTAAAACTCAAAGGTTAAGAAAAACAAGTACAAAATATCCAAATACATAGGTCTCTTTTTTTTTTTAAACTTCCTGAACTGTGTCTGAAATAAGATTGAAAGCACCAAAGGTTACTGAAAATAAGATTGAAAACGCTGCAGTTAAAAAAAAAAAAGTGAATAATCTGAGCTTCATTTTACATTTGCAAAGCAAGAAAAGCCAGTATTTTGGTGCTAACTCAAGGCAAATGGATACGTCCCCTTCCTAGCTGTGAAGTTCGTGCCCAGGGAAGCGGTGTCCCTGAGGTTAGGGCAAGTGGTTGCACTGCTGTCACATTCAGGAGCAGTGTGGGGACTGGGCCTGGGTCTTTCCTGCTCTCCTTGGCTGAGAGGGAAACTGCAGCTGATCCTCACTTTTCCCAAACTTCATATTCTCTCTGCCAGAGACGCAGAGCGAGCTTAGGCCCTGTCAGACTTATTAGCCAAAGCTCAGCTCCGCCAAACGCTGCTGGACACCTTCCAGGGTCAGATTGGGTCTGGAGGCAGCACGGCTCCGTGCATGCAGTGGTGGCCAAGAAACCTCGTGGGTCAGAGCCAGCTCTGCAGAGAGCCAGCTCGGACACTGTCCACCCCTTCACGTGGGGCTGAGGACAGCGGGAAGCATGGTGCTGAGCACACCTCCACGGCTTCTGATGGCCAGCTGAGGCCCCTCGAGGCTCAGACGCTGGCTCCTGATGGGCTGCTCAGGTGCCCAGGAGCACCGTGCACAGATGCTGGGGTGGCTCTGCAGGAACCAGGCGGGCACTGTTAAACCCAGCCAGGAACTAAGACTAATAAGCTTGTCAGACCCGAGCTGACATAGACGTGCATCTACCACAGTCCCTGGGTGCCCAGCAGTACTTCTCTGTCTGCCTTGGAGTCAGACTATCCTCCCCCAGAGAAAGGAGAGCCTGCTGCCTGCTGAACTCAAAGGGACGTTCCCTCCAAAAAACCAACCTGTGCTGGAGCTCCCGCAGTTCCAGTACAGTCGGTGTGCACTCTAGACAGTCTGCGTCTCTGAGAACGAGGTCCTTTTTATGAGCATCTGTTATGTCGGTGTCGAGCGCTGGTGTCCAAAACCGCTGGCTGCGGTTCGTGTGTGTGTGTGTGTGTGTGTGTGTGTGTGTGTTATAATTCAGCTGATTTTTTTTGTCTCTCTTACTTGAGCAACCCTTTTGTCTGAAACCATTGTTATTGGGACCTGCATTAAAAGCAAAAAGCGCAGAACCTTTCTGTTTCATGGGAGAAGTCTGTCTAGCAAATAACTCGTTAAGTCACCATGATGGGAGTGGAGAACCTTGGTGCTCATGTGGCTAGAGAAAGTGTGTTGGTAATTCCCTGATCTCATCCATTTGTGCTAGGTGCTAGAAAGAAAAGCTAACAATTAACTATCTTATTAAACTCAATGAAATAATCTTGTGCTCTCTATGGTACACAGGACGTTCAACTATGCCTTTAACAGAAAGAAAATAATAAAGTGACTGAAAGGGTCATGGATACGGCTGGAAGGGAACTGAGCTGAGTAAAATCGGTCATACTAGATTTCAATGAGCAAGCACATGCAAAGCATTTTAGATGTAGACAATGTCTTTTTTTTCATTTGACTAGCAAACAGTCATCTTAATATTGTGTCTCCTTTTATAGACTCCCAGTTTCCCATTGACATTGCTGCAGTAAAGAAAGATCATGATTTTCTTGACAAGGACCTTGTAGAACCTCTTTGCAGGTAAATAACACCTAAAGTTTCTTTTCTGATAATTCAAAAACATGAGCTGATTTGTTACTGTTAGCATACCAGCAAAAGCAGCAGCAGACATGTTTGCTTCTTCATGTGAATTAAGCAATTATAGCTATAATGCTACCATTCTGAATTAATTTATCTTACAGAAAATCCTGGAGTAGGACCCCCACTACACTTATAGAAAACGTCACATGATTTGAAAAGACTCAAATCCAATGGATTTGAAAAACCTGCCTTTTAAGAAAGAACTAGCAGTAGTACAAGCAAACGCTGAATAAATGAGTCACATTTGAGTTGCACATGAATAACTCTTATGTCCAAGCACAGCAGAAAAGATGAAATTTCATTGCACAGAATTCAGCAAGTAATTTCTCTGGCAGCACATGTGGTTTTCATGCTGCTGTGATTCCCTTGGTGCTCTCCCTTTGGCATCAGTAACAGAAGTGGGACCAGAACCCCACAGTACTACAGCTGCTACAACTGATCACTGGTTTGGCCCTCCCAGAGGGCTTGTGTTTGCTGTTTATCTAGCTTTTTTTACTCTGCCTGTGATGAATATACTCTATTGCATTGCTCAAGTACTGTCCCCCAGGACTCGAGAAGCAGCAATTCTGTGGTAGGTTTGCAAAACCACACTGCAGAGGAATTGTTCCCCGCTTCTTTCTCCTGTGCTCAGCTCAAGCTGGGTTCTGCTCCTCTCCTCTTCAGTAAGGACAAAGGATCATCTGGCCCCTAACCAAGCAGGCTTTATTACACGTTATGGAAACTTTCACAACATCAAGATAACTGGACAAAACTCTATTTCCCCTTCTGCAACTGTGGCTAAAGTCAACAGATAGTGTATGCCATTCCACTGCTTATCATACTGTGCATTGTAGGGATTAATAAGTCTGTGAGTGAGGACTGCAGAGAGGGTTTCTGAGAATCGTAAAAAATTGGGCTGGAAGAGATTTCATCTAGTCCATCGCTCCATCCCGGCAGATACCCACCTTCCTGGAGGGTCCAGGTAGTTCCTGGGTGTATCTGTCAGTGCTTCCCCAAAACTCCCTTGCTGCAAGTGAGACCTATTGCTTCTCATTTTGTCTGTTACGGTTATGGGGAACAAACTGTTCTCTGTGTGGTAGCCTTTGTGTCTGAAGACAAATCAGCAGGAACGACTTGGATCCTTCAGTGATTGCTGTCAAGGATGCCGGGGAGCAGGATAACTGCAGACTTGATCCGCTGCAGTTCTGAACAGCTTGGTGGGAGGGATTGCTGTGCCCATGCCTAAGAAACCTTCTTCCCACACGTACATGCATCCCTCTGCTTCAGTCTGGCGTGGTGGAAGACATACTTTGTTGTAGTTTGGGAGCTGGAAAGTGGTAGCGGTAGGAGGTTGTGATCTCTGCCTTTCCCCACAAAGTTGAAGGACCATCCAAATTTGCAAGTATGATGTCTGTCTCTGTCCCTTTCTTGTGAGAGCAAACAGCGGGGTGTAGTCGTTGCATAGCTCTCTGACTCTCCTGTTTTTCCTCTCTGAAGTAATTGGCAACCGTAGTACTTCAGTCATGTTCACCAGGCATCCAGCACCTACACAGCTAAATAGGAATAGCTCATCTCTTGCTCCTCCAGCCTCACAGATACACCTACAGTTACATTAGGTTGATATATTTATGGGGATTTCTTTGTGAGCTGAACAGCTAGAGACTTTTTTTTTTTTTTCTCTTATTAAAAGGTGAGATTTTGGAAAATAAACTGGCAGCTGGATAAATGCACTAATGACAAAATGCTTTATATTAGCCTAAAGTGATACTGCTGAGACCTGTAGTACGTAAGCATAGACACAGATCTTTCCAAACTATTTTATTCAAAGATAAAGGGTTTTATGACTGTCTAGTATCTTCTTCTGTAATGATTTTATTCAGAAGATGACACCTGTTGACTTTAATTTTTGTTGGGAATTTTTAAACAGTTTAGATCTAAAAACGGAATAACACCTTGTATACTAGCCAGGTAAAAGTACAAGTATTACATACAGGCTATGTTTTCAGATTGCAGACATTTAATTTGCTGTAATTCAGCAGCTCCAAACCTTTAGCTGAGAGTGACCTGTAAAAAGTGATTGTGCCAAATGTCAAGATTCAGGTCCATCACAAACAGTAAACAGTGTCAGCCGCTGCCCCCAGTACCAGCTCTGTTATTGTATTAGCTATCAAACCAACATTTTCCAAGCTTTCCAGTGTACTGGAAATCCTCACAGCTTGGCTGACCACTGTGGCTGGTTTTCTCCCCTTGCTTTGCTCTGTGGAGGTGGTACAAGGTGCGTGCCAGTGTATCATCTGAGCACCCCAGGCTATGTTGCACCTTCACGAAACAGAAAGCTAAAAAAAAAAGGTTGGTTATGATTTCTGTATGCACTGATTCCCAGGTCAGGAGCCAAACTTCCATACTTCAAACACCCAAAACTGCCCTCAAAGCTATGCATGACCAAGCCAATAGCAACACTGACCATTAGTGTATTCAGCTCGTGCTACTGAACAAAATAGGTTTCTCATTTTTGTTTGGAGGATAATTTTAAAGCTGGAATGTGGATAATCAGTTTGAGCAGAGTTTTAGCTCCAAATGGTAATGGTTCTAGCATAAACACTGCTCTTGTGGGTTGAAATCAGACTCTCAATCCCATGTTATAATCAGTTTTCTTATGGCATTATATTGCAGTATACAAGACAACATGAGGCACAAATGCAGAGGAACCTTTTCTTTTTTTGAGGCAGCTGGTAGTATTTTAGTCAGAAAGCCTAAGACTCCCTGTTGTAAAAGATTTCAGTGACCTTTTTGAGATACTCTAACACTCCTGCTGTTTACAATATCATTTGAAAATTTGGCAGAGTAAAGACCAAATTTGAGGCCTTTGGGTTAGAGGCGTATCTATTGAGAGATTCCACTCAGATTTTATTGAGTAACGAACAATAGAAAATTGCCATGCAATCTGCAGGCGCACGCTGTCAGCCTGCCAAAATAATAATTGGGCATGAAAATTTTATAGCTGGATCTCTGTGTCGTTTCCAAAATAGCAGCAACCAAATCTGCTCTGGGAACTTTTGTGGCCGCTGTGATAAGAGGGTGAGAAGGAAAGGCCAAGCCATGTTGTACTTTTCGTATTCGCGTAAATACAGTGACTAAGAATGTAAAGAACAAGTATGCAACAGTCTGATACATCGGCCCCTAAATGAAGCTCTTAAAATTTGAACTGTGCCAAGCAGCCAGCAGCCTTTTTTCCCATAGCTATTGTCTCTTAGCTTGTAAATAACCCAAAGGTCGCTGTACATGGGACATCCTACCATTAGAATTTTGAAATGATGACTGTATAGTCAGTACCATCTGCTGAGTTGTCTTGCTCCATGTGCTGTTAGGAGAGAAGTCCAGCTCTCCGCGTGGCTCCCGTTGGCCTCAAGGAGAGTTGACTCACCTCGTGTGAGCATGTAACCTATAAGGTAGCTCATTCAGTTGCAGCCATAATAAAAAGCAGTAGGACTGGAAAACAGAATAACCTCTTCATGCACAAAATTGGCGAAGCAGGAACATGCCAGAGTGAGCTTTGCACACCAGCCCTGATGGTACTGGGAGGACACTGATTGGATGTTCAGACATCAACAGAGCCCAGCAATAGGAGTTGGATGTCCTCTTCCTAAATTCCACAGCACCAGAGGGAGCCAGCTAGGGGCTGGTGCACCTAAACTTGTCTAGGAATAATGATAAAGCAAAGAAATAGTGTTGTGTTTCCCTCAGAGAGGAGTTTATGGAATCATACGATGTGTTTGCCTGGTCACAATCCGTAAGAGGTCTCCATTTGCAGATCTGCCAAGGTAGGAGATACTGTGCTATCCATGCCAGCCCTCCTCCTGGTGCCTCCTCGGCATGAACCTGCTGGTGCTCCTGGCTGCATTCCCCACCAGCTGCTCGGAAGCAACTGCAGAACAGGTCCAAGGGAATGTATGGAGCTCCAAGTCACTTCAAAGTTGTCTTCCTATTACCTGGATGGCTCTTGAAGCAGGACAACAGGTCCCTCACATGGTTTTCCAGCTAATTGACTCCTGCATTGCTCCAAGGTTGTGTTTCTTTGTAAACACTGCTTAGTGCTGTACAGGGTGTGTAAGTCAGAGATTTCCTGCTTCTGAAGAACTTCCATCATAAGGGTTAATAATTACAGCACTGGGATTGGAATTTGGAGCCCTAAATACCTGTGTCTATTGCTCTCTTAGATCTCCTAAGATATCACAGACATCTCCAGGGCTGGCTGGAGACAATTTATTTACTATTTACTATTAATTAGTATTGTTTTGAGGGACACTTTTCAACATGGAGATGATGTTTCACCGTAGAGATAATTGTTAAACCATAGAAGTAGTGTTTACCTGTGATGGCCTGGAGAAGAAATAAAATTAACATCGGTGAAGGACTTGCTGTAGTAAATATTTTGCAGGCTTCCCCTGAACACTGCACAGCTTTCCAGACAAGCATTCAAATGCATCCTAGATTATTTGGTTTTTATATAGCCGCTTCTCTTGTGCTTATTTGATGTGTTTTTTCCTGTCTTATGTCCAGATTTTATGTTTTGTTAACATTACAAACAGGCAGCCTTTTCCCATGTTTTTAAGCAGTGACATGAAAGTGTCGTGCTTCTCTCACATTGACTGGGACATTGGTGACAGCCTTTTGTAGCCAGGGACTTTTATTTTTTGTTTTTTGAAAGATTTGCTGAGGACTTGGCTGTCGGTCATCTAACAACTTTAAGCAGATGAGAAAAGCTTTCCACCACTACTGGCACATCAACAAGGCGAAAGAAGTTGAAACAGACTGTCTTTGGTTGGAGTTCTTAGTACCGGGCAAGCTCACAAATATGATCATTAGTTCTCTAATTTCACTGGCAAATCTTTCCACAGCACTGTAAGAGCCCCAGAGAGCGTGCTGATGTTTTGTAGATGGGTGAATTGAAAACCTGAGGTTGACCCCCTGGCACCCAGTAAAAAGTAGTTTTGTTTTCAATGGAGCACGGTCTTCATAGCAAAGCCAGGTTAGAAAGCAGCCAGGACAATGGTGTGGCTTCCAAAGCCTCCAGTTTAATTAACAATACTCACTTTTACGGAGATGACCTTTCAGTCCCTGCTGAAATGATCTTGCTCTTGAATGCCGTTAGCAGGAAAGCAATGGCTTTGGCTGGTCTTCTTGGTTTGATCGCGTGCTTTCTGCACCCTTCCATGCTGAAGAAGCCCTTAGTAGAAATGCCACAACACTTTCTGCTGTCAGCTGGACATATACAGAGGTACCTGGGTGCAAACAGGGCAAAGGATACGTCAAGGGCCTTTGCTTCCTTGTCTTCCCACTCCTGAAGTGTGTGGTTTGCTCCTTGTTTTTCAGAAGGCAAGTGACACCATAGTGAATGGAAGGGGCGCTGGTCCCTGTATTTAAAACGTGTTCTATATCTTCTTCACAACTGCAAATAGGCAGTAGGTATAGAGGGTTTTTTTATAAACTATTGAGGAAGCAGTTGCAGAGATCATCTGCTAGGGGCTGCTGGGGGCACAGCCCTCTTTCTCAGGAGAGTTTCTTCAGTGCCTGCTCTCGTGGAGGCGAAGTATGTGGAGTCGATGGAATGTGTTTCAGAGCTTGAAAGGAGACAGGGGTTTCTCAGGATTTCTGAGCCTCTGGGCATGAGTTTAGCTGGTGCCTCTCTCACGGTCAGCCCTGCAGGACACGTTTAAGACAAGGAAGCAGGGAGCACTTCCCCATCTCTGGCCTGGCTGCTCACTGTATAAAGGTACGAGGACACGGTGGCAACTTGATTCAGATACACAGCTATGAGCACTCAGGTGGCACACAATGACATGTCAGTGTGGAAATGTGGCTACAAACTTATCCCTTCAGCACAGGCCAGCTAATGCAGGGGTGCAGGGGCTCCAACCTGAGCCTCTGATTCACCTCCCCGAGGAAGCTGTCTCCAAGGATAGAAAGTTGGGCTGGCATCACTTGAAAACGTGTCTGTGCCTCTGTATATTTGCAGTTGATATCAAGATGCGCACTTAAACATTTTGCCCTCAAAAGAAGCTCTGAATGTTATTCAATCCTGGGGCCCCAAGAAAATGCAACTTTGGGTTGAAAAATTCCATGTTTGGGCAAAAGATTAGCTTTGCAATGAGAGATGTAATCCCGGAGGAGGATCTGTGGGCAGAAGGCTGAAGATATAGCTACAGAGCCGCAAAGCCTGAAATTTATTTCAAGAACATTACTATCATGCATGTGGGGTGTGCTTGTGCATGCATTATACTCACATTAGTATGATGAGCGCAGGACTTTTCTGATATGGCATAACGGGTTTATTGGGTTGACTTAGGGAGGAATATTTTATCTGCAAATGAGCAGGTGGTATTTTGTGAGGGATTTTTTTTTTTTTTTTTTTTTTTAAGGAAGACCCACGTTTGGTGGGCTGGTTCTCTATTAGTGATGGCAATTTGAAAGAATTTCTAATATTAGAAGTTCCAGAGAGGAAAATGTTAATACCATAACATTCCTATGGTCTGTGAGAGATTATATTATTGATGTGATACTTTTTTTCATATGTCCTTGTAACTTATGACGTACATCTCAAATGTTATCACTTCTGGAGATCTGCAGCCTCTTCCCGAGACTCAGAAGTATCAGGGGCAGCCCTCGCTGCAAAGACAGAGGAGATGCAGGCAGCCTATGGAAGAGTGTTGTGGGCACATGGCTCCCTCACTCTGCCTCTCTTTATTTTGAAATTCAGCCTTAAATCTGGAAAATGTTTGAACATCTTTAATTCTGAACCTTTTAGAAGATGGATGGTTTCATGCATCAGGACATTTAAGTACAAATAAAAACTAATCAATTATGATTAGCACAGTAGGTCCTCTGTTGAAAGAGCATGTTTTCTTGCCCTCTGACTGTCTTTGCACATGGCCACACACACATACACACACACACACATTCGCCTTCCATCTTTACCAGATTGTCATTTCAACCCATTATCATGGGATAGACTTGGATTTAAGGAGCAGAAGCTTTACAGAGTCCCTGGTAACATAGTTATGAACGTGGTCAAAAATAACTAAAAATATTTATTTAAAGATGTTGGAGTTGTTACATGTTGAGTGTGTTAACCTGTCTGTAAGATCCACAGGTATGGGAAAGGCACTTTTGGCTGTGGAGAAACATTTAACTACCTGCTGAAAGTTCCTCTTTACGTCCGCTTTTTAGAGGAGGTGCTAACTGCCTAAAGTGAGGAGCGACATCTTTTTCTTTTGCCTTTCACCAGTGCTTTGAAATTCCAATTTTAGAACAGTTATGTTATGGTCCTGCAGAAGGCAACTTGCCTCCTTCTTCTCTTGTCATTTCCCCAGCCAGCAGAGGTGTTTGTTTATACCTGTTTTCTTTGCTAAGTACTTAAATGTCTATGACTTAAAAAGCAATGTATAAAACCTGGCAAACAAGTAATGTGAAGCTAAGATTTCCTTCTAATGCACTGGTTTTATAGGCTGGAATAATATGCCCAGTATCATTTCTGAAGCCTGTTGTATGCAATTGGCACCCTACAGGCAGATAAGAGTAAAGCTTTTGAAAAGTCATGCCCTTTAATCAGAGGCTGCTAATCTTTTGAATGTGCTTTGCCCTGTAGACGACTGAACACACTGAACAAGTGCGCCTCAATGAAACTCGATGTGAACTTCCAAAGGAAAAAGGTAAGGAAACTTCATGAAATGTGCTGGCTTTGCCCTGACTTTTGTGATAAGACCTCCCCAATTTAGCTGTTGAGTCAGTAATGCTCTTAAAAGTAAGTTAATTGTATTTGACTTTGAACATGCGTGTCAGCATAATCTGGACGCATGATAATGTGAATTTCTAAATCTTGAAATTACAAATAAAATAGAAAAAAAACTGTGACTGATACAGCAGGAAGAATGCTACGTGTGTTAGAAGGGCACACACAGTACTTAAAACTTTACATATGTGCAGTTCAAGTTAGTGGGTGAAGAGACAGCGCGGTTTCATTAGGCTGGCTTGTTTGCCAATGCCATGTGAATACACAATGGAAAATCCTGCTCGCGAAAAATGGAAGCTGCTCAGATGAAAACAATAGCTTTTCTTTATTTCTTGTACTGATTTACTCCCAGTTAAGAATATGAAAATAAACTCTGTCATCCTTACAGACTCCTGTGTAACATGGGAATTATTTGAGCTTAAAGGGTTTTAGCAAGAACTGCAGAAATTGCGTATTGATTTTGAGAGTTTTGTAACATGTCCAGTGTTAACCGTTGAACGTTTGGTTTTCTAGCCACAAATTTCCCAAAGCCCTTCAGTAGTGTACAATGGTAGCTGTCGACTCTGAGAAATCGTGGTGCCTGTTTTTCCTTTCTTAGCGTGTTTGTCTAATGCTTTTTAAAAACTACCTCCGAGAGCTGCATTTTTGGTGTCTTTGCAGATTCATTCTATTCATACTCTATTCACTGTTTGAGGGAACTCGAACAAAGAGTGGTTTTAGTGTCCATTGGCACGGACCTCTTGTTCCTCTGTGTATGTAGCCTCTTTAGCTTGCATTTTGTCCATTCACTGAAGCTGCAGGGACCTCTTCACTGCTTCAGGCCTGATGGGTTTTTCTTGTCTTTGATAAGTGCCAACACTTTCCACATCAAACACCCACATCATACCTAAGAGAGGGAACAGTAAAATCCCCTGACTACACAATAACTTAATGATTTGGGCAGGTAGGCGGTATAGGAAGACGCTGAGGTCCTTCAGCAAAAAACAACTCAGTCGACTGTGTCATTGACCTGCTTGGAGGAGTGTCTGGTTTGTGTCCATGAGCTTGTGTACTTTTGTTCAAGCAGAGATACGGGAGCTGCACAACAGACAGAATTACAAAAAAACAACATATAGGTGAATGCTAATTGTCCTCTGGGAATTTTGTGTAGTTCCTCTCCTTCTTCTCTTCAACAAGCATTTTGGGTTTGGTGTGAGGTTTGTATGCTTGCTTGCTTGCTTGCTTCTTTAAGTGTCTGATTATGTTGGTTTAAAAAAAGGAGGATTTTCTTGTTCTCTTTGGTTTTTATTAATTTTTTGCTGCCACTCCTCCCTGTTCTGAATGGATTGAAGCCCTCAGCTGCTGTCCTTGCAGATGACCATTAATTTGCTATGGAAGTGAGACAGCCCTACTTGGTACTTTTTCAGGGGAACAGAAGCTAGTTGGGTCCATACCATGGCATGAGGCCAGGGAGAATCAGAGCACAGAAAAATGTAGAGAAAGAGGGGATGAAGGAGATTTGGGATGACAGATACAGAGCAACTGAAAGTAGAAGAGAACGTGGGCGAGAGGAGAAGAGGGAGGAGAGACTGCTGACAGGAGGAAATGTAAATGCAAGTGTAAAAGCTGGAAATTGGGTCTGGAATTGAACACCGAACCAAGTGAACTTTTTTGCTGTAGATGCTGCCTTTCCTAATAGTCTCTATGGTGATCTGAACAATGAAATGCAAAAGCGGCTTGCTTGGGAGGTTCAGCATAACAGGTTCGCACAGGACTAGCACGGCTGCTTGAGTGATTCCTCAAAATACGGCCAAGTGAGCTGCCGGGCAAGGTTACCGTGAAAGCCAGCGCAGCGTGAGGGTTCCCCACTGCCTGCTCGCCCACCCAAACCACTCATGCTGTGGGCTGCTCTCTTCCCCTTGTCTTCATTGAGATGCATACAGAAATCCTTGTATGTGTTGCAAATATGGCCATAAGCGATTTGGACAGACAGAGATTAGCCTTTGGATTAGCTGCCTTCTGCAGCTGTCGATTTATGAGAATTCCTGCCCTCAGCTGGAAAAATGTGGCAGGATTCCACTGCAAATAAACCCACTTTTTGGCTTTTGTTAGCATCCCTCTGTATCTCAGACAAGCACACCCTCGGTCAGAAAGCTGTACTATTTTAAATCAACTGTGACAAATCTGTGAATCAAAACCTTTTTCTCTTTGGCAAATGTTATCAGTCACTCCTCAAGAAACTTGTCCCTTCTCATCTTCCCAAACATAATGGTATTAAATGGACTTTTGAATATGCTCCAAAGCCGTGCACTTGATTTCACCCTAGGTCAGCAGAAGTATACAGTCACTGCTCCAAGATGTCTGCTCCGCCTGTGCAAGATGAAACATTGCTTTCAGACCTGCTCTTGATCCACTGTCCCCATAGCTGGTGACATGTCAGTTGGAAAAGTGCTCTCTGCATTTTTTTTTAAGGACAGTCTCGTTTGTCAGGGCACTCTGATATCTAACAAGAACAGTGGGTCATTCAGGATGTTCGTGGTTTCCAGAATTTCTACTGATTCCATCAAAAGAAAAGCACATTATGTCACAGGACTCACAGTGCAGCTGAATTTGGAGTGAGTCACCATGGCAGCATTTCAATATCCAGATATTTCATTTGTCTGATTTTTCTTCTGATGAAACACAAGTATGTTTCGTTATCAATTTAAAAAAAAAAAAAAAGAAAAACTAAACCATTTTTTTATTGAGCTGCAAATTTCGACACGAAGAACCCTCTGTATTTTCTGAGGGGTTCTTGTCAGAACACAAACTTATCTTTGTTGTGGACAGAGGAAAAACTTGTTTATTACAATATCCATTTCTGTTCATCTCTACTTTTTCAAAAATCTCAAAACGTACTTTCCTCTAAAAATGATTTAAAGTATGTTCACCACCAAATTTATGTTTATTTCTGTCTTCTACTCTGTGCTCTCCTCTTGATGTTTTTCACAATGTCTCTACCATTTTGGCTAGTTTAATTGATTCCAGCTTGCAGAAAATACAGGCTAAATCCTGTCAGTTCATACAGTAATGTCAGTGCAGCTACAGGGATTTGTGTCAGCCAAGAATCTTCTTTAAGGTCCCTTTGGCATATTGGGATGTACAACAAATAAAAAAAAAAAGTGTATTTTTATCCTATTGGCTGGTGCCATCAATGCTTCAGCAGTGGTATGCTTTGTAGATATAATTACCACTACTAAATATTTAAAAGTACATACCCTTGCGGTTCCTAAAATACCCACTTTGTGGCACTACTAAGACCACAATAGATGGATTTTTAAGTGCCTGAGTCTGTGCAGTCCTTTGGTTCGCCTATGCATACAGCAAACTCTGGAGCTAAAATGAAGGTAGAGCCGCCTGGTATGCCATTTCTTCCCTGCAGACAAAATGGCCAAAGCAGCATTAGCCTTTTCTAGCCCCCTTTCCTGACACTTCACTAGCTGCTTGATTTTCTTCTCTAGCTAGCCACAGAACTAAGATCTCCGTTCATTCCTCTGAACTAACATCAGCTGCAGGAGCATTGCACACCTCAATGTTAACAGATAAAAGGGGAATAACTAAACCCAGAATTTCGTAGCTATTTTTTATTTTATGGTTTGGACATGATCTAAAACATCTGGCCAACCTGAAGTGATAAACTGGCAAAAGCTTATGGCATTCATGAGACCTGGGCATGCCAATGATCCCAATCTCCATCTTTTTGAGGTTTCACATTGTTTAAAGTTTTGGGCGTTCTTGTAAAATTTGGTTTACATTTTTCAATTACACAGGCCAGCAGAGATCTAGTTGGAGATGGAAGATAACTTTACCATCAAAACTTCATAGAAAAATACTTCTAATAATAGACTTTTAAAATGAGAATTTTTCCAGTCCCAAAATAGTCTTTCTGGTTTAGCACCTCAGTTTAGTCTGACAGCCTGTCATATTTTACTGCCTTCATACTGCTTCCAAGAATGTGAAGAGCTGTTTGGATGTCATGTAGGTGAAGTTAGTTTGTTCTGCTTTAAAACAAATGTACAAGAATAATGCAGTATAAACCCAGTTCAAAGTCAGGGGAAGGATACTCATTAGCAACTGTGGGCTTCACATCCTTAGAGAACAGTGAGTTCAACACTGACTGCGTGCCTTATACTGAAGTTGTATCGTTTTTGTTTGAGCAAACAGATGAGAAAAATGTCACAGGGAGAGCTTTTTTATCCTTTTTTTTTTTTTTTTTTTTTTTCCCCAAGATGCATGTTGTCTGCATTGCAGAGTAGCTTCTGGAGCTGCCTAAACATAAGCACAACTCTGCAAGCTCCAGGCTGAGGGATGAGACCAAAAAGGGCTGTGGGGCTGTTGGCTGCCTCAGGAGAGGTCGGGGGAAGCCAGAGACAGTGGGGCATGTTGGAGGTCATCAAGTTTGAGGTGCCTCTGATGGCAAATTCAATGAAAATAGTGCTTGCCACTGTCAGAAAGCTCACCTCACCTGTAGATGATGCCCCATCCAGGACTGAGCCTGGCTTGTCCCCCTCCCCACACCTCTATTGCTGCCTTCGCTGCCTTCCTTTGCTTGTGCTCAGGCCCACCCCAAGCACTGGGTATTTGCTGTCTTGGTGTCTTAAGTGACTCACATCATTGCTGTAGTACCCAGCTACTTCCCAGACTTTACTGTGTGTATCTTAACACCATCCCTACAAGTCAGAGTCCTTCTACTTGGACCTTTCAAACCCGTTTTTCTTCTAAACAGTCACGCTATGGGCATCAGTCCTACACAGTGCAGTGCACAAGCAATCCACCACCCAGAAGCCAAGAGGCACTGATGGGACTCATGAGCTCCCTAACAGAGCAGGCTTTTATTCCTTACTTGTTAAGATGCTCGCTTCAGTCTTTGCAATTAAATGAAAGAGGCTGTTATGGAAGGAACGATGACCAGTCTTTCATGAACTAGGTCCAGGGAGACTTTACCCCCTATTGCTCACATGGAGCAGCACAATCACATTAATTCAAATAACGAGTAAAAGCACCTGCTTTTAACATGTGCCACTTGCCATTTTCCAGAGTGAAGATTCAGATGAAGAAGACCTCTGTGCTATCAGCAATAAATGGACTTTCCAAAGAACCAGCAGACGATGGTCACGGGTGGACGACATTGATGCTTTGCTTCACCGATCAGACAGACATGGATCTTCTGGGGACATTAAAATGAAAAATACAACAAGCAGCGAGAGCGTCCTCACAGATCTGAGTGAACCTGAAGTCTCATCTATTCACAGCGAGAGCAGTGGGGGAAGTGACAACAGGAGTCAATCCGGCATCAGCAGCGCTGCCAGGGAGACCTGCGACTGCTCTGGCCAGCACGATGTAGAAAACACACTGCTGCAAGACTCCACTGCAATAAACGCTGCCCTGTCCTCCAAGGACAACCTGAAGAATGAAAAACCAACACGAACCAAAGCAAAAACCTTTCTAAAACGCATGGAGACACTGAAAGCAAAAAGCGTGCATGGAAAACTAAAAGGCTCAGGAAGAACAGGTCCTTTAGAGATAAGCGGACCTGTTCTCCAGTATGAGCCAAAATGCTTGAAAGACATGCACTGTGTACAGATTGTCAATGGTGATCTCCAAAACTTAGGACAAGAGTCAGTCAAAAGAGGACTTTCCTTTTCTACCAAATCCAGCAGTGACAGCAGTCAGTCTGAAAACAGCAGCAGCGGCGTGAGCACACCGTGTCTGAAGGCACGTAAATGCCATGAAGCAAACAAGAGAGGTGGGATGTACCTGGAGGACCTAGATGTTCTGGCAGGAACGGCCTTACGGCAAGTGGTGGACCAAAACCACAGAAATGAATTTCATTCCCAAGAGAACTTGGTTGTGCATATTCCCAAGGATCACAAACCAGGGACCTTCCCAAAGGCACTTTCTATTGAAAGCCTCTCACCTACAGACAACAGTAACAGTGTAAACTGGAGGACAGGCAGCATCTCTTTGGGAAAGCAGAACTGCTCTACTCCAAAAGAGTCCGGATTGATGGCTTGCTGTCCTAAAGAGAGCAGAATTAGTATTTATGACAATGTGCCGGGTTCCCACCTGTATGCTAGTACTGGGGACCTCCTAGACTTAGAGAAAGATGTCCTTTTTCCTCATTTAGATGACATTTTGCAACATGTCAATGGACTCCAGGAGGTGGTAGATGGCTGGTCAAAGAATGTGTTGCCAGGCCTGCCAGTTGATGATGTGTCAGTCAGGGAATCTCCATCATTACCTTTCCAGTCGCCCACACAGATCACTCTTGATTTTGAAGGAAACTCTGTCTCTGATGGCCGGACCACACCGAGTGACATGGACAGAGATGGAACATCCCTGAATGAATCCGAAGCCACTGGTGTGAGGGACAGGAGAGACTCTGGGGTGGGAGCATCGCTCACAAGGCCAAGCAGGTAGGTAGCAAAATTTTGTACGAACATCGATAGACTGTTAAATGCAGTATAATGAAGCAGAGGCTCTCAGCCTGGGCGTCAGAAGGTGCAGAGAACCATTGCAGTTGTACGCGTCCTCTATGGGGATGGGGACTTCCCAGGGAAGGGTGGGACTCTGGGAGAAGGGACATCCTGCTGTGGAAATTCTTATGTGGAATCAATGGAGAACTGGTTTAATAGAGCAAACTAAGGCATTTTTTTTCTCTCTCGATCCATTTATTACATAGCAGGGCCCTGTCCACGTTGCGGGTCTTCTGTTTGTCTTCTAATTTCTGCACCCCGGTGTTTATGCCTCAGTAGCCTTGTACACTTTTTTAATGCACTGGTCTGCTTTAAAAATGTGTCCCTTTGTGCTCAAAGAGAATTTCCCTATCCTGCCTCAGTCCCTTATGTGACAAGATGAAACAATGGTATACAATTAACTTCTTAATAAAAGTGAAAAGTGGGATTTTGTTAATAGTTTGCAGACCTGTTTTACATCAAAGGAATGAGCCAAGGGAGCATGGTCCTGAGTAAAGGCCTTTGTGGATCCCTACAGCTGTGTGTAGGGTGGCTTTGTACATGCAAAATCAGTGAGAAAATACCTGATATTTTCTGATCTGCTATCAGTCTTGTCACATCCTCACAGAGGATTCTGCACTGCCAGGGTTTACTGCTGCCCATGCTTGCTCACCACCACCACTAGCAATTGAGCTCGAGGAAACTACCGAGTAAATAAGCAGTGCCAGAATTTTTAGAATTTGAGCCAGGACTCATGTTTAGCAAAACAAGAAACTGAAATGAGGTTTTTTTTCTGATATATCCAGTACATAGAGAAAGTGCATTGGAGTAAAGATGTGAGTGGCTCAATAGCTTGGTGGTTATGGCTCTTGCCGACGAGACACAGGGTTCAATCCCTCCTCAGAAAAATCCGTCAGTGTTTAATAATAGAGATATTTAGAGAACCTCATCTCCAGATACTTTGGTGGTCAGGCTGGTCCCCTGGGAGGTGAGGGGCCAGGCATCAAATCCCAGTTCTGAGTCAGGGAGAGAACATTTGAGTCTGGATCTCCCACATCCTGTTGGAAACATGTGGGCTAAAGGGCATGGCAGGCAGCACTGCTTCCCCGAGTACATGGATGGGATCCACACCCCCTTGTGAATCTAACATTAAAAAATCAAACCTTGGGCATTTCCAAAATTAAAGATACTCAGCAAATTGTCATAGTTGCCTCCAAGCTACATTTTATTTCAGTTGACACACCACGAGCCATAACGTGTATGTGTATGCTTTTGTATGTTTTGTATATTGACCAGCTCTATCTCACAGTATCTTTTTCTGCCCAGTTAAAGCAGCTGTCTGATTTTTCTATCCTTTTGCTAAAGGCGATTGCGTTGGCATAGTTTCCAAATCTCTCATTGCCTGAGCCACTCCATCGCATCACTTCACATCAGCAACCAGTCAGCAGCCCAACTGAATCTACTGCAAAAATTCTCTCTGCTTCGTCTTACTGCCATCATGGAAAAGTACTCCATGTCAAACAAACATGGCTGGACCTGGTGAGTACCATCGATAACTGGAAAAGAGGTATTTTTAGAAGAAAATAGATTCTGTTATTCTGGTAGTAAATTCAGTAAATGGAACTAGGAGAAGCACTTGTCTTCAACAGTAGAATTTGAAACTGTCCCCTTTAATCCATTGCTGCCTAGTGACTCAGTGGCAAAGTCAGAAATAGATCCTGGAGATCTGACTTCATTCCTGTTCTTTAACAGGGAGACAACCCCGGCCTCTCTAACAACACTCCAGTTCCAGAAAAATAAACAGGAGTAGGAGAGAGTGATTAAAAGTAGGAAATGTTTACAGTAAGTCTTCCCCATAATTCATTTTGCGATTCGAAAAGAAACAGCTGCTGCTGACCCTTCATGTATTCAGTATCAGTTTGTCTGTGCTTTAAAAGAAAGGCTAGAACAGTTACAGGACTTCCCTCTGCAGATCAAAAGATGCAAGCCTTAGCCTAGTCGTGGACCGGGGTTAGAAGGAGCTCGCAGCTGAAGCAGATGTAACAGCCACCTGCTCACTCAGAGAGCGGAGTGACGGGCAGGTGGACCTGAATGCTGGCAGTGTGGCGCCTTCTGTAGTAACCGGGTACAGAAACCTGCAAGTTTAAGAGTATTGGAAGCCTGATGGGCCACGCAGACTGAGGTATACCAGAATGGAAATGGGCATAGACAAGGGATTATGATTATCTGAAAAATAATCAAAAGGACAACAGAAGCTTGCCCTAATACACAGAGACATTGAGCCCAAAAATAATATGACTTGACATCTACATTGTGATTTCCATGTTCAAAGCACTTCACCAAAATCCCACTAAATTCAGCTGTGAGTTGGATAAGACACGTTTTCCTTTAAAAATGGAAAAATAGATACAAGGGACTGCATGTTTGGTTCACCTCACTGACATCAGCCACTCTGAAAAGTTCTAAATCTCATCTGAGCAAGTCAGGCTGGCTGGCTGTGGTCAGTGGAAAAAGACAAGCAACTCCAAAGGCAGCTTATTCTATCCAAGGCTAAGGGTTTGGGTCACCCTCCAGAGGTGCCTCACTCCACAGTGCGTATAAAGGCAGTCCAGACTGCTAACTCTTTCTAAATCTCTGTTAGAGAGCTAAAATTCAATAAGATGAACCCCCAGATTGCCGTTCTCCTTTGGTGCAGCTCCCTGTGGCTAGCTGACAACATCTGTACTGAAATTAATCTCATCTTAACCAACTCCAAATAAGAAGACCAGAATACAGCAAATTCTAGATCCTGCTCTTTTTACAGAGATTTTCCCTCTGAGTATTTCTTCAGTTTGTATAATCAGTCTCTAAGGATTTATAAGAGTGGGACTCTAAATAGCTGTAAAGTTACATGTTGTTCTCCTTCAGTAGGTCATTTAATCCAAGTTTTATCTCCTTTCCACACAGATGAGAAAAATCTTTGTCATATTCAGGTCATATTCATCTTTTTTGTTGCTTGTTTTGGTTTGGTTTGGTTTGTTTTTTTTTTTTAATTCCACAGCAGTCATGACTCCCACAAAGGGAATCCAGTTCGTTCTCGTTTTCACCATCGGTTTTGGAAGAAAGCGAGCTCACCAGCTCCACTTAAGTTACTCAACTAGAATAAATCACATAACACCAGGGATGAATCTGGCACATAGGGATTTCCCATCATCATTTATTACTGTAAAGTGTTAGTCAATAGAAATACTAAATCATGTAACTGGTAGGATAAAAATCATTCAGCGTGTTAGAGGACTGAACCTCCTTTTCTCTCAGACAGCCTCTCCACTGTGCTTTGCTGTGCCGTTCCTCTGAGTCCCTAATGGATGCTTTAAACCATGTTGGCTTCAGCTGGATGACAACCGCATAGTAAAAGTTTTTTATTAGAAGAGATCGTTATGCTATATCTTGGAGCCAGAGGTCATCTACTTATAAAAGTTATCAGATTTTAAAGTGTCCGTGTATTGTGCATTAAACATTATTTCACCATCTTTATAAAAAAGGCCCCAGTTACCAGTTTCTGCCAGCAGTGTTACACAGAGAGGCTGTGTAAATACTCTGATATTTTCGTGAAGCCTGCTCATGTTAATTTCCAGGTCTGTGCCAAAGTTCATGAAGAGGATGAAAGTCCCTGACTACAAGGACAAAAACGTCTTTGGTGTGCCTCTGATAGTTCATGTCCAGAGAACAGGACAGCCTCTTCCCCAGAGCATACAACAAGCACTACGCTACTTACGGAGCAACTGTTTAGATCAGGTATGAATTTTACTCCAGGGACTCGACTGACTTTTTTCTGACAAGCCACCCTGAGCAAGCAACGGTGAATGTCTTTGTACTTAGTACCAGAATTATTTTAAGATTGGTTTATCTCATGTGGAGCCCAGATCTCCTCTGATGATTTGATACTTGGTGCCAATACTAGTGGTTTGCCATTTTGAGATTTGTATCCACCTAATCTGTTGAATTATATATATATCTATAACAGCTCTGCCGATTTGTATACCATAGCCTACCTCAAAGAATGACATGAGATCTTCATGTCTCTTGAATCAGACTTGTGAAAAGACCAGGACTCACAGCTTCTACCTGTATCTGCGCTGCTTAAGCTTGACTGTTGCCACTGAGGGTTAACTGCATTCACCATTTCACAAGATGTGGTACAAAAGGTTTTATTTGCTTAGCAAAGAAAGAAAAAACCAAGAGTAGAGAGCAAACTCAGCAAAATATTCAAAGTATTCTGTTGACAAAGTCAGATATATCCAGATAGAGTTAGGTCAGCAGGGGTTCAATGCCAAAGCCATTATGGTACGTTTCCTTTTATAGTGTTCTTAACTGCAACAAGCCAGCTGGGAGACCCTCATGCTCAAAGTATTTCAGATTTTTTTATTCCCTTTAGCTAGAGCAGGGACATACCAATCATATTTTTACTGTTCTTCCCCTAAGGATGAGAATATGTATCTTTATGAACATAGGACTGGGAGAAACCCTCTGGCTCATTATGTTCAGTCCTCTACTATTATTGACCTTATGTCATATGACCTCTTCCATAACTGCTTTTAGATAGTTGTAAGTTCAAAAGGAGAAACTAGCATTTTACTCTGCAGACTTTTCTGGTTTCCAAACTCTGAGCACACGGAAAGGGCGGAGATGGTCAGTTCTGAATCTTTCCATTTTCTGATCGCTATTCTGGTTGCTGTGCAGGTTGTTTTGTTGGGTGACAGTCATCTTCCCCAAAATGGAAGTCTAAAAATTAGATGCCTTGCTGTGAATTACAACCATTTCCCTTTACAGCCAGTGGGGAAGACACAGGTCCTTCCTATCATTTCTCTCTGTAAAGAGATCCCGTAGTGGTCAAACCTTGGCATCTATCTCTGGGGTGTCAAAAGTGAGGTGAGATGAGTTCTGCCTACCATGCATAGTACAGGAGTTAAAGGGTGGGAGGAATAGCCTGCTGGAAATGTATTAATAGGGGATGGAAGGGGAAGATGCATAGAGACAACTAGAAGCAATATATTCAATAGCTAACATGCCTGGTTATCACTGTGGTAATCTGGGTTTGTGTACTGAGCTGGGAAACCCGGTATAAAGTGATTCAGTGTTCCTGTCATCAATGATGGGACTGGAGGAGGAGACACTTGCTCAAGGATGAGCAACGGGAGACGTGGGGATAAGCATGGGCTTGTCAGCTATGAAGTAAAGCAATAGGAAGAAAAAAAAAAGAGGTGAAGGAATAAATGGGAAAAAAAAGGTAAAAGGGAAGATAAAACCAAAGAGAAAGAAAAAGCTATTGAGAAATTTGAGGCAGTCAAAAGGAGTGTCCATGGGCAGTCTCAGACAAATACCTGCTCCAAGAGGGAGGGTTTTCTTTCTGGGAAGCATCAGAGTTATGTGAAGGGCCATTTCAACTCGGCTTGAGTTTCCACTCCAAGTGGAATTAATAAGATATCGAACAGAAAACGAAGGAGGAGAAGTACAGATCTGGACCATTTAAAATATCTTTTCACCAAAAACCTTTCTAGGCCAAACCCCTCCAGGCAACTCAGCTTCTCTGCTTTACGGTCACTCCCTTTGTTCCCATTCAATTCAAAGTCTCCTAATGCCTGGCCAGAGGTCTGAGCAGCCTCCAGTCTCCCTGAGCATCGTGCTTATGTGTCACTTCCATGCACTGCAGAAGGCAGTCCTGAACAGGCAAGGTGAGGTTGCTCCAGATCACTCTTAAGGTCTGGCTCCTGGCACTGAAATGTCTTCAGATTTTATCAGGAGCCTCAACATTATTTCTAGGATGTATTATTCCGTTTCAACTCGTGAAATAGAAGCTGCCTTGCCTTTTTCAACTGCATCTTTACTTCTGTCATGCATCATATGGCTACTTGCAGGGCAGGCGGCCCACGGCATGAGGATAATAAAAATTTTGGACCAGACTAACCTCTGATAAATCACTGGATTTATAGTCTCATTTTATTTACAGAATGAATCTGTAATATTGGAGAACAGAGCCTAAAATATCTTTTTCTATCAAGTGCAGAACTGTCCTCTTTTGATTAATTATGATTTTTTCCAAGAAAAATGAAAATAGGAGATTGGATAAATATCACTAAACAAAAACAGAGCTTGAGAGTAGCAGACTGATGTGCAGCAGGAGATTGCACAGGTGAGATCTGATGTCTGACCTCTCAAAATCAGACTTAGCTGGAAGTTTCTAAAGATGCTTTATACCCGCAAGGACACTTTCCATCAAAAGCAGAGAACTGAGCCTCTGCTCTCACATTTATCTACCACATGCCAAAACTGTATTTTTTGGATAGAATTAGCGTGTGTCCTTCTGCATCTTCAACACACATTTCCAAGAGGAAAAGGGATTTAAAAAGAAGAGAAAGGGAGAACCAAATGAAAAGAGCCAGATGCTCTTTCTTGTATTCTATTGTCAGAACGAAGATCCGAGCTTCACCTGTGAACAGAAATACAGTGCACCAGGATGTACACAGGGCACACTCCAGTCCTCTACTTTCTACACATAAACTTAGCTCACAAGTTATGCTAAATTCATCAGTAAGAAAGAATAGCAGAAGAGCTGCCTCACAGCCAGTCTGGTGCAGCAGTTCATCTCCATATAAATAAACATATCCACTCACAGAGCTGAAGAGTGTGTGATTTATGTAACTGGTGTCATTAATGTGTGAGTTAACAGAAGTCCTAAATACCATACAGTTGAGCTTGGGAGGTGTTCTAGGGAGAGGAGAGGAGTGAAGGTCAGAAGGCTTTACTTCCTTGCCTTTATACATTTTTGTTGGTGGACCACACAGAAAACTGAACTGACCACCAGCAAGACAGCGAGCATGGAGGAACAGAAGTCTATAATTCCAAACCTGAAATGCGCCTTTTTCGTAGGTTTTCTCAGTAATTCACATTTCCCCTGCAAAACTGAAGGACAACAGTGCTAACACTTCCCAAATGAGACACTGTAAACTCACTTGGGAATAAATAATATGGTCGAGGCTCAGGAATTCGCCCCGGGGGAATTCCACTGGCAAGAAGGACGGAAAAGGGCAGCAATGCTGTGAAGGCATCATTTGAAGAATTACTACTTCCTTTAGAATAGAAAGCAAACAGGATAAAAATGTATCATCTTAATGACACTTCACAAGTAATCCCTCTTTGGCCCCCACTTTTGAAATGGGGTTTCCAGTGGGATTGGGGGGAACTTGTGAAAGGAGTGTTCAAAGTTGGAAGGGGAAAAAGCAGATTAGGTCTTGATTTTAAAGTTCTGACACGACGTACTAATCTTTTGCCACAGCATTTATTACTTAGCTGACCATAATATTTTCTTGTTAGACTTCAAAATATATACCCAAATAAACAGGAGGAACCAGATTCTCAGCTGGAGTAAATCAACAGATGGTCACCCAAGCCAAGCAAGCCATGCTGATTTATATCAGCTGAGCATCTTGCTCAAATTCTTCAGGCAGCAGGGAAGCCACTTGCACTCTGAACTCTCCCTCTAGGATGGGATACAGAGCAGCAGCATTATTAACTCTTACAGTCCTGCCATGAGAGCATGCACTGGCCTTCGAGACATGTGGTCAAGTCATGATCATCACATTTGCATATTTTCCTTGTTCTTGCCTGGAGTAAAATAAGCAACCCAACCTTTGGTCATTATCAACATCCCCTGTAATAGATTTTTTTTTTTATATATATATATATATATCTCCTTTAAGTAACATTTTCTTTTTACCCAATTCAACATGGTGCCTTTTCAGGTGGGTCTGTTTCGAAAATCTGGAGTGAAATCCCGAATCCAGGCCCTACGTCAGATGAATGAGAGCTCCCCGGAAAATGTCAGCTACGAAGATCAGTCAGCATATGATGTGGCAGACATGGTAAAGCAATTTTTCAGGGACTTGCCAGAACCTCTTCTCACAAGTAAGCTTGGAGAGACTTTTCTACACATCTACCAATGTAAGTTGAAATATTTTTATTATTATAAACAATTACAAAATATTATATAAGAGCATACTGTAAATAATTTTGGTATGTTAACACTGGGTAGGATTTTTTCTGCTCACCTTTGAGATGTATAAAAGAACCTCTCTGCCCTCAAAATCTTTCGCTAAGAGATTTTTAGAAGCACCTAAAGGTTTCACTGTCAAAATACTATCAATTTTAATGGAAAGACTGCATTGAAATGTTGAGAAGCTTTGAAAATACCAGCCTCACATTCGGAAAGAAGCCAGAAGGACAGGCTGCCATGGACATAAAAAAGCACGAAGACTCACATTTTTGTCGTATTTCTTTAAACTGTGGGCCCATTTCATGGAGACATCTCAATACAAGTTAGTCTTCTGGGCATGGAGAAGTGGTACTTGACCATGAGAACATGTGCCTGTGCAGTCCCCTTCCTTGCTGTGACTTTTGATTTTTTGCCTTTTCATTACAGTCAATAAAATGTACATGCAAGAAAAGAGCTGCTCTCATTTAGATCCTCAGCTTTTATATAAAGAACTCATAACAAAAGAAGAAAAAACCCAGGATTTCTTCTTTTCATTTCAGCATAAGCAGTCTTCAGCAAAACCTGAGACTCAAATGCATCAGAATGATGTAAATCCCTGTAAATCAGAAAATGACTGTGTATCTCATCTCCAAACTGAGGGAGAAATAAACAGTGAGGAAAACACTGAAAAGACAGAGGAATTAAGAGTTTTTCCTGACAACGCCCATTATGAAGGCCAGTCAGCTGGTACTCTGGCAGATACAGAAAAGCATACCCAGCCAGTCTAAGCCAAATAATTGGAAGCACTAAAGAGAAGTGTGTCTAGTCTTTTCACTTGCAGACATTTCAGCTGCCAAAACAATAGAAAGCCATTTTTAAACACTGTATAATCCCAGTGCTAAAGAATCTCAGTTACTTCCGTTGCCTCCCTTTACTGTAAAAATCCATCTGTGGCACATAATCACTAATGTATTTAACATCACGGTGTCAGTAGCTGGTAGAGAAATGCTGTGATGGTGCACGTGAGAGACAGCATCACAAATAAATTTAGTGGATTTGGCCATATGTGATGTCTTGGGACACGAGTGAACCGAAACAGTTGGTGCCTAGCCCTGGACCATCACTTCCCCCTCTTCCTTCCTGCACACAAGTTGCAGGTCTTGTCTGCCTATTCATGCATCAGTGAGCTTGTTCATAAAAGCAACATATATTCTTGGTGCTAATAAAATGGAAATTACAATTGTTTCTACAAGGAAGTGGCCAAGGAGAAGATTATTCACTAGAAGGATATCTACATGTCCTTGGAAACAAATCGCCTTTAAGCTATTGCTTGATGAAAACTGGGAATGTCCTACCTTGGCACAGGAGAGACTGCAAGTAAACTGCCCCCCTTGCCAAAGGAAGAGAGAGATGGCAGATCTCAGGGTCGTCAGTGTTAATAGGTCTGTAGCCAGGACTCCCCATCTCCCAGTCGGAAGCCTGGGGTTAGGATTCACAACAGTCGCACGGCTGAACTGTGAAACACTGCTACCAGCCAACAAAAAAGTGTAAAAAGGGGCATAGGCTAACGCTGTCACCCTACGTGGTACTGCAGTGGGAGGTCTGAAGAACTCTCCTTTATAGTGATCGGAAGTGGAAAAAAAAGTGCTAGGAAAGATTTTCTTGAACTGCACCAATAGTTTAAAGGATTTCAGAAAGACTTGAGGGTGGATCTGTTTAATCCAATGTGGAAACAGGAGAAGAAGGGCTCTGTAGACACTGGAGACCAATGTTTGGGTTAAGAGTAAGTAGCGGTGGGTTTTTTTCCATGTGACCAACAACAAATATATTTTTCTGGTTTAGACAGTACTGACAAAACTCCTTTCACAAAAGAAAAATGTTGAAAATTGCTGGGATACCAACTGTATTTCATAATGTCTGCAATTAAATAAATCTGTAGCTGGGAGTTTTTCTTCCCCTTCATTCTGTTTAACAAATTAGTAATGTGAAGTTAGGAAGGATTTTTCCTCCCTTAGTGTATTGGCAAGGGATTTCTGATTTTCTGGGACTCACTGAAGATCTTTTTCATATATCCAGAATAGCTTGATTTGCTGTAACACAAAGGACTGGGGATGAGATGGTTAGTGCCGTAGTCTATGTAGCACAGTGTTGATGAAACTTTCTCCATGTCCCTAAAACTCTCAGTTGCCTAAAGTTTACCTATGACTCGAAGGGCTGGCCGGTCTTCTTCTCTATGCATCAGACCCAGCAGTGCAACCGTGCGGGTGAGGGGGTACCACAGGTTATGCGGGGAGAAAAGACACCTTGCATGGATTTAGCAAAGGCTCCTCTGACTTCTCAGAAAGACCTGGCTTTGCTGCTTCTAGAAAATCAGAAGCATTGGTCTGTGTTCAGTTTGTCATTCGTGTCTGAAAGCTTTTAAAATAAAGTGCTTGTACAAGGCTAGCAGACAGAGCTTTAAAGCTGGCTGTTCCCTCCACTGTAAATCTGCTTTTGTTCTTCTTCCGTTCAGTTATATAGAGCATATGTAATACCCAGAGGAGAGCTCCAAGTCCAAACCGAGAAAACTTATGGTAGTTTTAGAATTTAATGTGTCTGAGGTGCTATTTAAGCATATCCATTAAACTCTTCTATGGTTTGGGATGCACGTGTGTTTTCCTGAAGCTGCCCTAAGACTTTTGAACTGTCTTCCCAGGGGACAAAAGAAGCCTGAAAAATACCACTTAAAGAGATGAGTACTGAGTACTACTCTCCATTTATAAACTCTAAAAGAAGTTCAGTCTCTTTCTCGGGGAACAGCCTTTCAAGCGAACAGAGAAATGTCATACACTGGCTAGGTGAGCTGTGCTGGATGGAGGAGCAAATACCACATCCCTGCAACAGCCAGCTGGTCTTTGCCCCTTCGTCCCCTGTCATCTGCCTCTTCGGAAAGCTGCTCCCAGAGCGTGAATGCCTGTGACAACTCTGTCTTGTTCCTGGCCCCTTATCCGATCTTACAGTTGACCCCCCTGACCATCACTTGCTCTTCCTCAGATGTCCCCAAGGAGCAGCGGCTGCAGGCAGTGCAAGCAGCCATCATGCTGATGTCTGATGAGAACCGGGAGGTTTTGCAGACTCTGCTGTGCTTCCTGAGCGACGTCACCTCCGTGGAGGAGAATCAGATGACTCCCATGAACATAGCTGTTTGTCTGGCCCCTTCCCTCTTCCACCTCAATATAGTGAAGAAAGAATGCTCACCAAGGTAAGTTTCTTCTCAGCTCTATGAATAGTCATATCCTTAATACATAGTGATGCTTTCAGTGTTTCTGAAGGTATGCAGGATACAGTTTTTGAAAGCATCTGCTTTCCAGCACCCACGACACAGGGCGTGGCTTCAGAGAGAGGGGGTAGCCCTTGCTGCAGAGCCAGAAGCACACTTGTACATGCACAGAAGGTGTTTTCACAAGCCCAGCAGGCATTTCTGGTTGTCCATTGTGAATATGCAGTGCTTGCTTTCCATGCGAAATTTCAATGGGGCACAAGTGAGTTTTGCATAAGTAACGTTGGCTTCTGTGAAGGGAAAGGGCCTGATTTTGCTCCGGTTGAAGTTAAAGATTGCCCATGTTTTAATACGTATATTTTCAGTGAGTGTTGTTTTACTCTATATTTTCTGGCTACATTCCGACACTTGGGAAACTGAGTTTATTTCAGGCCACATTAAGATGGCGTGTAACATGGTGAGTGTAGATTAAACAGGGCATAGACCCTGCTAAACATTGGCATTCCCCACCTGATGTCCCTTCTGACTTTTTCCCCCTCCCCATCTGGTTCAGAATACACGGAGATTCTTGGTCACGTACGTGTATAACCAGTGTCTGAGCAAGCACTTTAAGCAGTAACAACATAAACCACTGCACATCATGTCTGTTAGAAATCCATTCCAAAATGTACAACACCCAATGCGGGACATGCATAACCTTTCCTGATTTTACCTTTGGCTCAACAATATTTTAGGTAAACATTTTTTCCTTTTAAAAAGGCCCAACCGCCTGAGCAAGCTTTGTGATAAATAAAAACTAAAGATAGGCTTTTCTCTCTGGTGTTCTGAACATCCTTCTGCTGTTTGCTTTCATATTGAAAAGACTCAGCTCTTTTTACCTGAGACACTGAATTCAATTACAGAGTAATACAGAAAAAATATGCAACAGGGAAGCCAGATCAGAAGGACCTCAGTGAAAACCTGGCAGCTACTCAGGGACTTGCTCACATGATAATGGAATGCAACAAACTTTTTGAGGTGAGTGAGAGACTCAAACGGCATTATTCATGGCCACGTAACGCAGCATCCTTTGAAGTATTTATGTTTATGCTTACATTTTCTGTCTTGCATTAGCTCAGAGATTGATGGTGCCTCACTTATTTGTAAACTTGCTCCATCTAAAGTTTATTTTTCTCATTTCTTTGACTGGTCCCTTCTAGAGTTCAGACACGCAACTATTAAAAATGCAGGATAATTATTCTGTGGCAGTTTTCAACCCAAATTACTGGATTAGGAAATTTGAATCTAATTAAAATCAAAATCTGTTTAAACATTTAATTTTATTATAATGCTTTTAACACCTCAATTAAAACTTACTCATCTAAAAAAGAAGAGCTGATACACTTTATTTCTGTGTGTCGTGCAATAAATTTAAAATCACAAAGGGAGATGCAGTCATTCCCGCAGCTACTTCCACTGTAGGTGGAGGAAAGATAATGCTCATATCTCCTTTCCCCAGAAGCCCAAGGCAACATTTCTGGGGGTTAGAGGGGTAATTCTGAGGCAGGGGCTGTTTCATTATACTACTTTGATTTCTCATCTTGCGTAAGAAGCAAAGACAGAAATAGGTATCCATTTTAACAGGTCATAGGCTCGTTGTTATTGAATGCCGAATGGTCTGTCAGCCTAAAAGCACATTGTCTTACGGAAAAAGTCTCAACAGAAGGTTTTCCCTCTTTCTGTGGTGCAGATCCCACATGAAATGGTGACCCAGTCCCGAAACTCCTACGTCGATGCAGAAGTGCATTCTCCCACCCTGGACGAGCTTGGGAAACAAGTGGACGAGGAAGGAGGGAACTATCAGATGTACCTGGAAAGTCTCATGCAGAATCTCCAGAAAGAAGCAAAAGAGAAATTCAAAGGATGGGTCACGTGTTCCAGTATAGAGAACACAGAGCTCGCCTACAAAAAGGTAATTTGGGGAGACATGGAAGAATCGGTAAAGAAATCAAAGCAAAATGCAGCCTAGCTAGGGGACACCCTGACCTCTTGCATGGCTAAGTACATACCCTTCTGACTGGTGGGGCTCACAGGTTTCTTTAAAAGAATACTAAAAGCACTTAAAAATATAATAGTGGTTTAAGTATGAGATTCTAGGAGAAGGCACACAAAGCAAGTTAAGGTCTGCAAAATAAATAACGTAAGTGATGCATCAGACAACACAACAAGAGAGCGAGCTGAGACTTTAAACCACAGATAACATGACCTGGAAGACGGGCAAAGTTTCTGACCATCTCCTGATGTTTGCCAGCAGTTTGGAGAACACAGCCAGGACGTAGGTCTTAAAAAACACCCTTCAGGCTGCCCACTGCTTTACTTAGCCAGGCCAGCCACACGGCCAGTTTTGTGCCTGATTCTCTTGTCCATGTTTCCAGTGGACGTTTGATATCTTCCACTATTATCCAAATTTCTGAAGTTGTTCAAGGCTCCCTCACTTCTACAGGGAAAGCCACCCAGGAGGAGGGTGCTGCAGGGTCCCTGCAGGCAGCAGAGTTCAGGGCTGCTGGAAATGCAACGGTAAAATGGAAATCTGCAAACCAGCAGCAGCTAGTGAGAGGAGGGGGTGGATTAGGGGTGAGTGACCCTAGTTTGGTAGGAGAAGGGCACTGCGAGGGGTGTGGTATCTGGACAGCGAGGGGGCAGCAGGTAGCATGACCACTGCTGGGGAAAGTGCAACCCTTTTGTTAGAGGTAAGAAATCCCAGTTATGGGGGTTTGTAGCCAGCTTCTGTGGGGGAGGTTGATGAGGGAGTAACAGGGCTGGGGTGGGAGTAGGATGTGGGAGAGGGCAGGGAGAGAATAGGGGCATGCACAGATCTGGGGTCAAGGGTGTGTGAGCCTACAGAGGGGACTGAGAGTCCCTGGAGTTCTGTGGCAGGGGCACGGGGGAACTGGAGAGCTTTGGGGAGAAGGAATTATAACAGCATGCAGTAATTTAGGGTGGGAGGGGTGGAAGGTGGGTTTCTGGGGACACAATCCTGGGTCTGTGGGAGGTGCTGGAGGTTTCTGGAGCGGTAGCGTTGGTGTGTGAGGATGCCAGGGTAGGGAGGGGTTAGGAAAGCAGGGCTGGCAAGAGCCAGTTCTTATAGTTAACTTATTTGCTGCCTGACATATGACCCCTAAAACCATGCAGAAAAGCTGTACGTGTGGAATTTAGGATATTAATCTTGTGCAGAGCCCAGCACTTTCCGCTCCCCTTATTGCATGCTGTGGAGGTGTAACAAGTAACAGGAGCCGTGAGCTAGGAAGAGCTAGCAAGCAGTTTGTGCGTTCCTTCCTTGAAAAGCATTTTCTCAATACCTCCCTTGCAGCTATTTTGAGGAGCAAACATCTGTGTACCTGACACATAACCGAACCAACATATGTTCTACTCTTCCACCAATTAACCAGGAGGGTTAATGCACCCTCAGTCCCAGCTAGTGCATCAGATTGCCCAAGGTGGTAGCTTTATTTCAGCCCAGGGTTTCAGTCTCTCCTTTCATCTGGTTTTACTTCTGTACACTCATAGCCTTCATTACACTTAGGATGCTTGGGGTTGAAAAAGTGTCTGTCACACCTGAAATAATACAGCAACTCCACTGACACCATGGGAAGTGGTCCAGATATATACTGGTATGAGAGCAGAAGTAATGTATCACTTCAGTTTTCCATCCAGGACTAGTATGCATATGTTCTCACATACAGTAGAGCAGCAGAAATAGCAATAGTAGTGATGATTAGCAGGGAAATATGCATGCTCTGAAGCTAAAGTCAGATACCCATATCGAGATGTTGTCGTTAGTTATCCTCTGCTGAACATAGGCATACAAATCATGTTCTTTGTTGCTTTACTACAGGTTGGGGATGGGAACCCGCTGAGGCTTTGGAAAGCGTCGGTGGAAGTTGAAGCCCCCCCCTCAGTCGTCCTGAACCGAGTGCTGAGAGAACGTCACCTCTGGGACGAGGACTTCTTGCAGTGGAAGGTGGTCGAGAGCCTGGACAAGCAGACGGAAGTTTACCAGTATGTTTTGAACAGCATGGCTCCTCATCCCGTCAGAGACTTTGTCCTTCTCAGGTAAGCTAAGGGCACTTCTCCAGTACCTCTGCTTCCTGCACCGTGTACAAGGAAGTTCTGGTCTTACTTCAGCCTTCGCGTCTGTAGAATTGTGCTTTGAGAACTCTACTTCTGGGCGGCGGTGCTGATTTCTCAAACTGAATTAAAATATACAGCCAGAGCATACTGACCTTTTCTCTGATGTAATTTGAGCAGCACATGCTCCTGAGGCCATAAATACAATTTTTTCCTTAGAACAGATGTCTGATAATAGCTGCTGTTCTCTCTTAGCTTTGTTTGTTGTCAAAACAGTGCAAAGAGAACCCAATTGTTTTTTACGCTGCTTTTGCTGTTCTCTGGGGGAATGTTTGATGTTTGAGAGCCAAATGTTTAGTAGAGAAGACAGTGATGCTTTTAAGCTAAAGTTGTTATATGGTGTCTATATAAGTTGTTATTTTAGATTTGCAGTTGGAGTCTTTGTAGACCCAAGAACTGCTAACCCATAAAAATCTTAGTGTGGAAAAGAACAGAAAGAGGCAGTAGATATGTATTTTGACTGTCTTCCAGGGGGATGACATCTCTCAAATAAATGTATAGCTGTGTATCAATATTCCAAATCCAATCCCAGTTCTGCCATTGTCTACCTGCCTGCACAGAACAGACAAAAAAAATTCCTCTTACGCACCTTCTGCCTTTGAAATCCTGGCCCTTTGCTTGCTAGGAGCTATTGTGGAGCTGCTGACATATTTCACTTACAGGGTCAGTCCTACAGTTATTTATTTCAGGATGATTTTGTGCATTCCCATTCTTGGTCTCTGCTTTCTTTGATTGAAATGATGTGCTAGAGAAATACTAAGCAGTTTTGACAAAGGAAATAGTCCGGTGAGTCAGAATGGTATTAGAGTGAACAAAGATTGAAGGAAAAAGATGAGCCCCATAAAATATAATTATAATAGTACATCCCTTTTATGAACTTCAGTATTCTCTTAGAGAATGATAACATGCAGATACTGTCAGTATAAGGGAAGAATTATTGGCACTCTTAGGGGAAGATTTAAAAAATCCTTTCTGTAAGTTCTTTATAATGTTAAAATACCAATCCTCCCATTACTCTATTATTTCCTTTGCCTTCCCACGGTATACTGGGCTAAATTAATTATTTTGTAATTATTTTTTTTATATAATATTATCGACTTAAACCAGTGATAAATTCGGCCCTCCGCATAGCCCCAAGAAGATTGTCTGGGAGCGGCGGGGAGGTTTTGATGACCATAATTCTGTCCTCTTATTTGCCGCTTAGTTCACTATTAGGTTTCATGGTGGTTTATGTTCTTTAAAGACCTGCTGTGCAGTCACATCAGTTAAAGAAAAATCTTGCCATTGAGTTCTCATTCTTTTCACTAACCCAGGCAGAATGACCCCCAAGGACTGAAATACATATCATAAAACTGAATCCTGGTGGGTTTTTAAGGGCTGAAAACAGCCGTCAGGCAGATCTGTCAGATTCTCTTGTTCATCTCTTTTGATTTATATCATTAAGTCTAGAGCAAGGTTAGCCAGCAATATCGCAGTCAATTTGATACCGTAGGATTGGTGGGAAGCGAACAGTGAAATTATAATTCACCTCTGGGGACATGAATAAATATATTTTAGCAGATGGCAATTTTCTCCTTCCCAATCAAACTTTTGGCTGTGAAAGGATCAACTTAGTTGTTCCTTTTTTTTTTTTTTTTTTTTTTCAATTGGACAGTCATAACAAGGGGATTAGGCTCCCTTGAGAAGACTCTAATGGTAAGAGGATAGGGGCGATGTTTTATACGCCCGGGATCTGACATGGCGCCCAGCTGCCCTTCACAGGCATCGCTTTTCATTAAAGATTCCTCAAATGTTTAATGTTCATTAAGTATCACAACATCGCTGTGAGTTAGGTGCCATGCCTGTTTTTACTACTGTAAGTTATTTAGAGAGGTACAGAAACTGGCCGAAATCTGTATAAACAGAAATAGGAATCATAAGTCTTCTGCAATCTCTGGGATACGTAATTTTCCACCTCACAAATGGCCCAGGTAAGTGCTGTGTGGTTACCAAAATGATATGGTCACATCTGAGCGCTGTGCAGGCATTCACAGTAGATGGTTCAGCATTTCACAGTAGATCCGAGGTGTGATTTCCTCCTCTCTGTGTGTTCCATCTGCCAAGATAGCTCATCATTTTTATTACTGCGCAGACACATGTAAAACCTTCTGAAGTCAGTATCTTCCTGCAGTGTCTTGAATAACAGCTGTTTCATACAAAAAAAAAAAAAAAAAAAAGCAAGCAGAATGTTAAAATTATCTGCTGAAGCCCAAACTTCAGCAGTGCTTGAAAGCAGCCTACCTGCTAGAATATGATACTTCCCAAGGTAGCACAATCCCTGTCTCAGTCCATGGCAAGACGATGCACATTACATGGCACAGCTGCAATTTCTCGTTTCTTCCCACAGCATAGGAAAGAGCATAAACCTATCCTCTGAGATTCAAGGCAGATGAGAAAGATCTGAGACACCAGAATATAGAGAGAATGCTTACAGAACAAGAAAAAAATGTTAAGTATTAAAGTCTAGGTGTCCTGGACTCGGTGTGGAAAACTTATGCAGCACGTAAGAGAGGCTAGAAACTTGGGAAAGGGTAAAAAAGATGAAAGGATGTTTTGTTTTTAATTCAGATGCCCTTGAAACGTGTTCTGGGAGTTTCAGAAGTCAGTGAGGGCAGTAGCGAGGATTTCTGCTGTGCTAAACCGTATTTGTTGTTCTGTAAGTCTGCATGGGTGCAACGCAACATTTCAGCCTCTGCTGTGGGGCTTATGCTTACTTCAGCTCCTTTCCAAAACTTCTCTTTGTCTGCAGAAGGCTGTAGCATGCCCTGTAATGCATAATGGTTACAAAATGCTCATGTGGAGAAACAAAACTTTTCCACCTGGACCCCCTGCAGCAGCAAAGATGGGTGGCCATTCCACATCGTGACCAGACTCCCAACTGGGGAATGTGAAACTCCTCCAGGGACTCCTGTGACAGTCCAGTGGCACTGCAGGCAACAACAAGGATAGGCAGACAAGCAAACTGTAACTTCAATTCTGGTTCTTACTTGTGGGCCCCAAAGTTTCATTACTAAAGTGATTCCTTCTCGAACATGTTGCTGCAGGACATGGAGGACAGATTTGCCGAAGGGGATGTGCATGCTGGTTGCCATCTCTGTGGAGCACGAAGAGGCTCCTCTTATGGGAGCTGTGCGAGCCATCGTGATGGACTCTCAGTACTTGATAGAGCCCTGCGGCTCGGGAAAAGCCAGGCTGACCCACATCTGCAGAGTTGACCTAAAGTAAGTATCCCGCCTGCAAAAAGCCGATGCCCATTCAGCAGGGCAAAACCCTCAGAGAGGGGAGGTGTTGGGAACAGAGGGACGCGGTCGATGTGGCTTTGCTGCTTCGGAGTCTTCGTGCGATCTTTTTTATCCACCAAGCTCATTTCTTTGCTCGGCACCTACCACTGTTATGATGTGATCATAGAAATAAAATCTGCTTATTTGATTGCGGTAAGGGAGAACTTCAGCGTGTGTTTACAATGGCAAGTATTTGAAGTCACCACCACCACTGTGGGCAGCCGGGCGTAGGAAGCGTGGCAAGCCCATTCCTGTGGGGCATATTTCTTGAGTATTTGAGTTTCTCAATAATTCTCTTTCCATTTCTTCAGAGGACATTCCCCAGAGTGGTACAACAAAGGCTTTGGACATCTGTGCGCAGCAGAAGTTGCCAGGATCAGAAACTCATTTCAGCCTCTGATTGCTGAGGGACCAGAAACAAAAATCTGAGGAAGTGTTCCTGGGAGCATGTGAGCGTAAATCGGGGTCTGGCAGGGAACAGGGATACTGAAAGCAAAGATCTCATTTAAGCTGTAGAAATATGACCAGACCTGGGTCTGTACAAAGCTAAAACAGGAATTTTATAGGAAAGTCCTTTTATTCTGGAGACTTCATCTCCCCCCGGCCACATCCCTTCTGTATTAATTTCAATTATGGAAGTAAACATTTCTTCAGAGAGCTTTTATCATTATTACTTTAAAATCAGGCTATTGCCATTACTTGTGTGTTACATAACTCTGGTATTTAAAGGCTTCTAAGAAGCATATTTTAATTGTAAATAAATTATGTACAGTATGTATATATTTATCTATATTATATCTATATATATGTATATGTATAAATTAATTATTTTGTATATAACTCAGTGCAAATCACTTGCATCGGTTGGACCTGAAGTGAATCTGTCATTTGTTTCTTAGTGTGTCACTGCTACATAAGCTGTGTTTGCTATTATCACAGGGCTACCAGGCATAATCCCTGTGATAACAGAAGTGCTTGTTCTCAAATATGTTTCGTGTTTGTGTATGCTGTGAGAAGGTACCTAGAAATAGATGTAGGAAGAAGTAAAAGAACCGAGGAAGAAGGTGGTTACTGTACGTTTCAAAATAATGAGTGGATCAGTTTCACCAAATAAAATACACGGAAATGTAACTGACGTAGACATTTATATTCAGCAGCAGAATTGGGACAGTTAGTAGAAGGTGTTGAAAACTTACCTTTTGCCTTAATTAATGGTGTATCTGCCACTAGAGAACTTCACTATGTGCAGCGTTCAAAGTAACTGCTTGTTCTTGAAGAGTACAAGATAACGCTGTGTGTACTGAAGTGTCTGAAATCAGATCGGTAAGTTATTAAGCTGTAAATCTTTTTTTTTTTTTTTTTTTTTTTTTTAGCATTTTGTCTGGGTTCTGAGTAAGTGTTTCTGTGTTGTTCTTTCCTTCTCCCGTAGAGATGAGTAATTGGAAGCTAAGAAGCTCCAAAGCAGATTTTCCACATCCAGTGAACACAAAGACATGCAGATGAATACCATGCTTTTTAATATTCTTACTATACAAGTAACTAAACTTTTTTTAAGCTTTTAAACACATCTTGGTGATTTAAAACACTAAATGCAGACTGTGCTTGGAAAGATTGCTTTTATAGTAACAGCAAGCCTTTTCATATTATATTGCATTGATCTGCACGAACCTGCCTCTGTAGGCATTGGTGGGAGCAGGATTAGCCCCTGACTATGAGGAGTAGGAGCCATTTAAGCCATGATATAATTTCGTTTTCAGGGACCTATTATTTTGCTAATGGAAGAATGCTTTAAAAGTAATAATAATAATAATAATTTGTTGATGTTACCTTTGAGGCAGGGTTCCGTTTTGTTTTTAACTAACCTAAGACCAAAAACGATATTACATCTATGACTCAATACGAATGTACAAGCCTGTTAATACTGTTCTTCATTAATCGCATTTGTTCACTTTGACTTTATTTATTGCTGCATGAACCAGCTGAGTTATTCACAGCCAGCGTTTTAGCTCAGTCCTTCCAACAGGATCCGCTGAGATTTAGTATGCGGTCAGTCCAGCAGGATACATTTCCTACCTAAAGCTCCAGTCCTGTGCCCCGATTCAGCGATGAGGGGGGAAGTCTCTTCAGAGCTAGCGCTTTGACTCTGCCCCAGGGACGGGGGCTGTGGGGTGGGCCGCGTGCGGGCCTTGGCAGCTGCTGGAGCACGGTCCCCCGTGCCACCGTGCCCGCACGCGGAAGGGCTGTGCTTCCCCCCGGGGAAGCAAGCCCGGGGGAGCTCGGGCTGGGCAGGGGCAGGGGGACCTGGCACGGTGTCCCCGGGGAAGCTGCAGGACCCCAGAAGGTCACCGCCGTCTCCCGCCGTGAGCTCTCTCACCCCCATTTTACTTGCGCAGCTCGTGGGGCCGTGGAGGTTGGCTGCCCATAAGGGCCCGCCTCGGGCCTCTACCCAACGGCAGTCGCCCGCGTGCGACTCTGGCGTGTTTTTAAGCCCAAAAGTCAGGCCAGGGCGAGGCACCCGCCAGCTGCGGGGCTCCGCCGCTGCCCAGCTCCAAGCGGTGGCTCGCGAGCCGGGGGGGCGAGGCCGGTCCCCCCGGTCCCCAGGAAGCGGCGCCTCCTCCCCAGAGGCCGCGGCCGCAGGTTTCACGCCGGCTCTCCTCCAAAGCACGAGCCGTCAGAGCACTTCTGCTGCGTTAGCTTGCATAAATGAATGCAACGCTGCCTCGGGATTGGGGGCGCTGAATTTCTGGCGCTGGGAATGGCAACTGTCTGACAGTAAATAATTTCTTACGGAAATGAAGGGAAAACCTGGCCAGTGGTTTTATCCTGGCTGACAAGCCATCGCTCAGCTGGAAGGGGCGCCTGCCACTGCTAGCAAGTTAAGGTTGTCCTCCTACCCTTGCAGAAGCTCTGGCATGTGCTTCTGGCATCTCTAAGCCATGTATCAATGAAATAAGATTTCTTTAACGTGCACATTATGCCATGTCTATCATACAGCTACCACAGTATTTTGTATTGTTACGTCGCCATTGAGAATACATTATGATATTTGCATTTTTAAATGTTATACTCATATCAATACCTCATATTTTTACCTCATCTGTTGGTATCAGTCATTAGATGTAAATAAATAATTGCAGAGTTGAATAAATTTGCATACACTAAAGAATCACTTTTCCTTTGTGCGCTCATTTGGCACCCATTGCCAAATCCATTGCATCCGTTTCATTCATTGGCACAAGAAACACGGTACATTTAGGATCTTGCTTGCTTTATTGCAACTTGCTGTACACTAAGCTGCTCTGATATGGATCTTCGATAATGACTTTGGGCTCAAAATTATATTGTTGTGCATTATTATACTTATCCTATAGTGCCCTTAAGTATACACGAGCTGCACAGCAAAGGTTATGTTTTCCAAAGAAGCCATTAATCTAGGACAGCTGGCTTGAGAAAGGTAAACTCAGTTCCTTAATAGTGTTCATGCCCCTGACTCCCACTGAATTCAACCATGTTTCTGCATCTATATTCTTGTCAGTAATCTAAGTCTGGGTTCATACGAGTGACTGTGGAGCTGGGATGCTGAATGTTGGGCTCATATTATCGGATTTCAGCCGTCTCAAATCCATCAAGCCACTGCAAAAGAGAAAAAGATGCAACAGCAGGATAGTGATTCCCGTGGTTTGTCTTACACATATCTACAGATGGAATAAATGTCCTTTTGGATGGGTCTATATCTCTCCAACTGTCTCTCGAATCATCAAAAGATGCAGAGTCTCAGAAAACAGGATGCTGTGCAGGGAGTCAGCTGTGAGAGACCATCTAGGGGGGGATGAGCCCTTATGTCCCACTATTCAGAGAAAGCTTGGTATTAAGTTTTGGACTGAAAGGAAGCACTTTTCTCCAATTCTCTGCCCTGGCAGAGATGGTCAGCTGTGTAAGTCTGCCCTTTCTTGCAAAAATATGTAGTATGTGTTGTGCTTTCATTGCCATTTCTCCCTCCCACCCACCTGCAGCAATGTCAGGGCAAACAGACGGTCTTAACCCTAACAGCCCTGATGGTTCAGCTCCTGGTATGTGCCATCTTTGAAACGCTGAATTCTTGGGCATCCATCCTCTTTACAAGGCCCTGCAGGAGTCACCAGCAAGGCATCCCTCTGGTGCACTTGCTCTGCAGAAGTGGTGTCTGCCTTGGAGGATCTTGGCACGCCTAGGAGATGTTGCTCTTCAAACTGGCAGGTCGTTGTTAGATGAGAGCACAGGCTGAACACACTGAAATGACTGTGAGATGAAAATATTGGAAGAAATATCCAGAAGGCTGCCGGAGCCTGCAAATCAAGTAGGAGAGGATGAAAAGTGACACTGCTGCTCTAGCTCAGTAGTGACACGGGAGAGCTGGGGAGGGAACACAGACCTAGCCTGACAGCAAGCAGCACTGAAGTGGCACCACCCGCTCATGCTCCCTCGGGGATTTAGCACGGCCATGTCGTGTGCTCCTTGCCAGATGTGTGTCAGTCACAGCTGCACGAAGGCTTCATTTGGAGGGGTGCTAGGCCAGGCAGGCCACGTCATGACAGCTGCAGCTGTGTGGTGTGACAGGACCGGGAGTGCAAGACATCAAACCCCAGATTCATAACAAGGTGGGTGTTTGGACTTTCCTAAAACGTGCACTGTAAATGGTGACCCTCAATATCATGGGTCACTCCGCTATGCTATGTAGAAAGCTAATGTCTTCCCCCAAAGCAGCCATGGGTGCAGAGCAGATTCCCCCCGAGCGCTGCGTGACCGCAGACTGTCCTCCTTCAGTGCGCAAGAAACTCAGCTCGGTGAACAGATGGGGACGTGGAACTCAGGGGCTAACGCGGGACAGAGCAGTGGCTCTGGGTTAATGAGTAAATGACAGGGAAAACATTACAACACCGCAAATAACTACTTGCCTGTCTTTTACAGGCTAATGCTGGGGAGGTCTCACACACTCCCAGATACCTCCCCTAATCCACAGCAGGACCCAGGCACCAGAGCCTCTATGCCTCTGATGAAGGATCTCTTGCGGAAAAAGTAACCTGGACGCTTCTCTCCTTCCACCTTTTTGACTCTGAAACCTACCGTGCTACCTCACTACTGCCCTCCCAGAGGTATCTGTTTGCCACTGCTCTCTTCCGCTGTCTAAACCCAGCTCTTGAGCCTAACATGCCCTCTTCCCCGCTCGGGCCCCACACGCCTGTCTGCAGGCTGGGCTCCAGCCTGGGCCCGGCTCGCCCAGCCTCGGCTCGCCGCTTCCTCCTGCCCCGGGGCTGCGCAGGAGGCCACAGGGTTCAGCTTCAGGGCAGGGCGACCGTGGCCAAGCGGTCGCTGGTCCCAACCCCAGGAGCGACCGGGGGGAGCCAGGCACTGCCAGCCTGCCAGGGCTTGAGTCTGCACGCCGCCCATGCCCCACACGAGGGCCAAAACTCTGGGGTGAGGAGAGATCCCTTCTGCTTCCCTCCTCCAAAGGAGGCGGGAAGGCGAGAGCAGGAAAATATCCAAGAGCCTGTACCGCCACACCGGTGCTCCTCAGTCCCACCGCAATGACAGGTTGGGGCTTTTGAGCCTTTCCCAGGGGGTGTGTGCCCGGCAAGAGGGGGCAGCCACAGGCAGCCGCGGTTTGAACGCGGTGAACTGCTCTTTACCTTGAGCAGAGGCTTGAGCTGCAGCGTGCGGGTCGTGGGCGGCAGTTTGCGGGGAGACAGGATGGGGTCCCGCCTGTGACTGCGCTTTAAGGAGAAAAAAGCTGCGGCAGGAGCTTCTGCTCCAGCAGGAGATTGCCCTGCTTGGCCAGAGCAGCTGCATGGAGCTCCTCTGGCAGCCAGCTAGAGGATTATGGCTTATTTCTTAATCAAAATACTCAACTTTGAAAATGGCACTAGGGAAATTCAGCCGAAAACGGCAGACTCTGCTCTTTCTCTGTCACCTGCTCATAGCAGCTCTGAGACAGACACATGGCTGAAACACAGACGCAGCACTTGCTACAGCGAGGATTTGCAACAGCTTGCGATTTATGGGAGCAAATTAGCCACAGGGCCATCTGTCCTTCCCCAGACCACGCCTGGCCTGCTCCTTCCTGGACCAACTCCTTTTCCTTGAGAGGCTGCATATCGAATTACTTACTTTTTTTTTTTTTTTTTAATTAAATAAATGTGGGAAGCACAGGTGGTGGAGCAGACGACAGTAACCCTCTCAGCAGCATCTGCTGGCCAGCAGTGCCCCGCCACGCCTGCGGGACGGATGCTGGCTGGGGGCCGGCGTGCAGCCTGGCCCCAGACCCTTGCAGGGCAGCAGCCTGGGGTCTGCCAGCCCCCTCGGTCACCCCGCTGCACCTCACCAACCCCAGCCAGGCTTGGTTTTCGTGGCAGTTGGACCAGACGCACTACGGTTGGCCTGGCTTGACCACAGTGAGTCCTTTCCCCTCCCTGCCCTGCCCCCAGACCCCTTCAATTTGGAGACTTTCCACGGGTGTAGCTGAAAGCAGAGAGTTTGTTTATCAACACCAAACACCCACCCATGAGCCACACTGCTGGCTAACCAGCACCAGCAAGGACCACACCGTGGCTGTAAGTGGAGATCACCCTGGATTCACAGATGCTCCAGTGTTTCTCGCAGAATTGGCTGGCTCCCGATGGGACAGGAATTCAGAACTGGGCCTATGAAGAGAAAGTGCAGGATTTTAGCTCTTTAGCCTAGATTTCTGTTTCTCTGGAGTGTCGCGTCCCTTTCCTCCTGGCCCAGGGAGGAGGGATCACACCAGCCTGCACGCCTTACCCAGGCTCGCAGCCTGGGGCTCATCATGTCTGCTGCGTTGCAAAAGAAGTAAAAAAAAAACTGATGTAGGGAAAACTTCCCATTCTTCAGTGGATATATCTGAGGATCCCTGGTGAGCTGGTGAGGAAGGACAGGCTCTGCTGCTGCAGAAGCATCATGGCAGCACTGGCGGCAATGCCCACCCACAGGGCACACCAACAGCTTGCTCCTGGGGCCATGGGACAGAGGGAACAGCACTTCAGAGCCAGCTCTGGGCAGGCCACCTTTCCTGCTTCCCACGAGATCGCAGAGCCTGAGGCAGACTGCCCGCCGGCACGGCACCGACGCATGCCCAGCCCTGCCGATGGTGAACCCACCCCGACATGGAGTGAGCCATCACGTGTGTTTTAATTACATACCCTTCCCAAACACGGGCCCAAACCCCATCAAGCATTGCCTTGAACGGGGTTTACTGTCTGGTCACGCTCATGCCCAGCCACGGCTTCATGTCTTTTTGACATCCAGTGGTCTCATGTCATTCTCTCCTCAGTCGAGGCGGTGCCAGGACACTTGTAAATAGCTGAGCAGTGACATTCATCGCACTGATGAAACCATCAGGGCAGCGATGGAAAAGTTTGTGGTTATTATCAATGCAAATAAAAATAATAGTTGCAAATAATGAAAAATTAAATGGGTGTCACTGGGGTAAGCCAGAAAGTTACAATACGGCCTCCTTGGCCTCCCAATATTTCTTGCCTCGGGCAACATTTTCCAGCAATCACTGGTATTTATCAGAAAAGAGATACAGTTATTGCATTTGGGTTTTTCAAATAATTGAGTAATTTAATCCTTTAAGTGCCTCTGAGATCACTTGCTGTAATTAAAGACAGAAGATGAATGACTGAAGTACAAGAGCATTGGAGGACTTTAAAAATGAATGTGTCCTTGACTGCGTCTCCTGTGCATTTATATAATGATTATCCCACATTAATATGACCAAACAGATAAAAGGAAAAAATAATAAGACCCTGGTTGCATTATTTTTCTTCCAGCCCAATAATAATATTTCACCAGCTGGAGGACTGTGCCTGTGAATACCAAGCAGGAGCAACCACGTGCTGCCGAGTGCAGGACCCCGCCGCCTCCCGCTGCGAGGTGCAAGGAAAGGCAATATCCGCTCACGGATTCCGCAGCAGTGTGTCAGATAAATGAGTTACAAATGTGTATAAAATTCACAGACTTCCATCAGAAGTGGACTTCGAGGCTAGCGCCGGGAGAGACAACTGCAACACTGGCAGCTTAGTTTACAGGCATTTATTGTCCCAGCTTTTGGGAATAGGACCCGTTTGATCCCGGTGGAGAGAGGGAGGCAGAAGGGTTGCTGCAAAGTAATAACCGTCAACAAAAAATCCGTAAAGCCTGTGAACAGTACTTTGTCTTCTAAATAAACTATATGCCCTGGCATACCTATGTGGCAGCTTGCTGTTCAGCTCCCCATTTCATAGGCCAACTGGAAATAAGTATGTGCCCAGAGAGGGGAGAGGAGGTGGTGGGAGCGCTGGAGCTGGCCCTGCCCTGTTCTCCAGGCAGCACGAAGCCCCCGGATCACGCCTGCCCCAGGCTGGAGGGGCAGCAGCCTCGCACCCCTCGGGGCACCCTGGGGGCTGCCCGGAGAGGCTGCAGCCTGCCGGGAAGCCGGATTGCTCCCCTCCTTTTCCTGGCAGGGCATCCGATGGCCTCCAGCTTGACTGCGCTATTGCCAGGCTACCAAACTCTGTCACCTCGTAAAACTTTACACCGCAGGTAGTTGATGCCGTTACACCTCTTGAACTAAACACTCGGCCAATCCGCGGTTCCCCCCGGCGGGGGGACAAACCAGATTCCTTGGGTCAGGTGTCGTGTTTGTGCAGCCCCGCTGGTTTACAGTGCTGCCGAGAGAACTGTCGCGCAGCCCCGAGCGCGCCCAGCCAGCACCTCGCCGGGACGCGCCGTCGGCCCCCGCTTCTCCCCGGGCCCCGCTCGGGGGGCGGGGGGGGCACCGGGGGGTCGGCCCCGCGCACCCCGCCAAGGCACAGCCCCGGCGGGGGTAAAGCTCCGGCCTGGGGCTCCACCGGCTCCCGGGAGCCAAACAGGTGGGACAGAGACGGCGCTGCCCGGGTCCTCTCCTTCCCTGCAAGGAGAGATGCCAGAAAAAAAACCCAAAACTCAGTGAGAAGTACATTGTACATCTCAGGTTAGGGAGGAGGAGTTATAACCCATCCGTGGCAAAACAAACCCGAAGCCTTGTGTGCTACTCTGTTAGTAAGGAAGAAACTCTTCCTACTAATAGAAAAGAACTAAAGTAGAGCCCAACCCGACTTGATGCGAATTTGCTGTATTTAGAAAACACCATCGTTGTCATTCCCACTGCTTTGCTCTGTGCCTTTGACCGGATTCCCTCTCCCACCCGCCGGTGCCCGGTTTCCCTCTGCACCTCAGAGCCCCGGGGGCCTCCTGGGCCTCGGGCCAGAAACCCGTTCGGATGAGCTTGGGAGGGCTGGGACCCCATCACGATGCTTCACCGTGTGGTGTTCTAACTCTTGTAACAAGGGGAAGGCTTTTGACAGTGAAATTCATCATGTGGGAGGTACATCATGAAGGGACAAATAGGGGAGGTAGGAAGTTTTCAGAGTAGATGCTTTTTTTTGAATTTTATTCTTTTAACAAAGAATATTCAAAGTCCCCTGGTCCATCCCCACATGGGGGGACTGTTCTGTCAGCTCTCAGGGCGAGGATCTCGCGCAACTGCTTGTGCCTGTGGCTTTCCTGCCCTGCTTCGTTAGTATTTTCCCTGGCTTCTCTCTGCCTCGCTGGCCCTCCTGCCACTCCTTCACGAACACAGAGAGCATCACAAAATAACAGCCAGCAAAATGTCAGCACCCACAAGTGCCTTGGCTGTTGGCTGCTGTTATTTCAGCTTTCTGGTTTCTTAACAATCTTAGTTTTCTCAGAACAGTTTGACAGAGGGTGGCGTTTCTGTTCAACTCACAAAACAAAATAAAAGCCTCTGATACGTTGGACCTTGCCGCTTTCATCTCACCTCATTATTCCTTCTTTTTCCAATCTCTTAAAAAGGGTGGGCTTAACTGGTCAGCACTAGCCGTAGCCTTGTGATGGCTGGCAAAGAGCGGGCTGGCAATCCATCAGTGGCACACCAACGACGGGAAGAGCTCACCCCTTCCCTTTCTTCGCCTCGACTTCTCGGCACTGCATGAGTGAAGAAGGAACAAGACTGAACTTTCTCAGCTGAAGCTGAAATTTAGCACCTAAAACTGACATCTTGGCCCTGAATAAAGCCTTTTTTCACCTAAGGGGTTTTTGCAAGCAGAATGGACAGATCAAGTTTTTAAAGTTACTCAAAAGCAGATGAATACAATGAAAGGAGAAAAGTGATGGGCAAGTTGGGTGTTTAAACATGCTCACACTTGTACGGCCACTGTCCCATTAATTAGTCTTGTCCCTTTCTGCTCCCACTTCCTTTAACTTTGACATTTACTTCCCTTAGGACGTTTAAAAAGGATACCACAAACGGACTGCCTGGTGCCCCAACCATGCTGGCAAAATCCCTCGAACCTGTGAGTAACTCTAGTAGAATAGAAGAGCTGTCAAGTTTACTGTGTTGCTCTTATATTGGTATGGTTACATCCAAAGGCTTTTTAAATATCAAGTCACTCTAAAAAAAAAAAAAAACAAAAAACAAACAACAAAGAACCAAACCCCCTTCAAAGCCTTAGGTCTGTTGGAAAAACCTCTGTTTAGACACAGGCCCCAGCAACCTCCAACAAAAGTTACAGTTATTTATGGCACTGGAAGAACAAACAGCAGCACGAACTCCTTGCAGTTACCATAATAGCCTCTCCTAAGGTACTCTGTACTTCGTGTTGCAGACAGAAAAACTGGACAGATTAAACAGTAAGTTCATGTTACTATTTGATATGTACAGTATCTTTATTTAATTTCTGCGATTGTTAGAAAAACAATGTGCCACTCGTTCTTTCATTTAGCAAAGACATCTTTCCCACAGTCACTCTGCACAATCTTTTCAAGAAATGAAACAGAAGCCTTGCGCTCACATCACAAAAATATTTAGAATAAAAATATAATTTCCTTTTTGACAACATGTTTAATCTGGAGCATTGAGCAAACTGGCAATAACGTTTAATTCTAGAAACACCGTTAAAATCAAGAAACTAGTCTACGTAAGACACTGCATGCTAACAGCCACCACACGTAGACTCCGGTTGCTCTTCCGAAAATAAAATATCGTCCTCCCCTGAGCTGTCTTCGCAGCCTGACTATGGAGTCCCCTCTGCCCAAAGTCCTTGTTACTGCCGGCACCTCTGCTCTAGACGCACAGACGGTGACGGGGAAGTGCCAGGTCATCGCTCACACGCGGGTCTTGAACGAAGAAGTGCCCCAGAGCCCGCAGCCTGATCGCAGGCAGCGATTCCCGCGTCAGTCTGCATGAGCACACTGCAATTCTCCTTGGGCAGGTATCTAATCTTTGCCTATTCGAGGGCTTTTTTTGTTGTTAGTGGAGAGCCATTTTTTTCAAGAAGATTGACAAGAAACTCGCCCTGGCCTCTGATTACATAAAATGAAGCAGATTCCCGAGGCAAAACCATACCCTTATCCCCATCAGACCAGCCTGTGTTTTCCCTGGCCCATCATCATCTGCCGGGAGCTATGCGCTGCTGTGCACAGGCAGCCAGGCTGCTTAGGAGAAAACTTTGGCAACCGCTGTGCCCAGCTCGAGCCGGTCGCTGCTCTGGAGCGATATTTAAAAACTCTTCTGAAGGGAACTGCACCAAGGGCTGCCTTGTTTTCCATAGGCCACGGCACCGGGCGTGGGTGCAAGCGGACAGCTTCGTAGCAACAAACCCCGATTTACCTACAAATTAGATATCCAGCTGGTGCCATCTGCCTGTCGGTGGTTACATATCACCCAGCCTCGCCAGGAAGAGCCCGCAGTGCCTGCTCCCTGCTCGGGCTGCTGTTTCAGGCACCGCGCTGGGGCCGGGCCGTGCCACAGCCCAGGGCAGCAGCTCGCCGGGCGGCTGATGGCTGGCCCAGAGCCGGGCCGGGCCGGTGCCCACCGGCACAGCACCCGTGGCTCTTCTGGGCTCGCCCTGCCCAGGCCCCCTGAGCCCCCGCAGGCCCGGGGGAGGCACCGTACGCCGGGCTCCTCACAGAGATCCGCTCCACACTCGCTTTTGTTTAAGCAACAGCAAAACAATTATAACACCCGTACGCGCACGCACAGAACACGCAAGCTAGGCCTGACGTGGCTACAGCTGGTATTAAATGAGCGTCACTTTTTGTTATGTACTGTGAAGGCCTCTGACTACTGGAGTAATGTATTGCAAGGTGATTCATTGCCACACCATGGAGAAAGCCATTCGGCATTTCACACATTTAGGGAGAGCTATTTCCTTGTAATCCACACTGTGCCAGGCACCAATGCATAAATATACAGCAGTTTAAAATTTGCTTTTCTTCCGCAAGACCTATCAGGCTATAAATAATTTTTATATCTATTGTTAATACTCCATCACTTACCCTGAATTTTACACCTTAATCTCAATATCAAAATATACATTAGTGCAAAGAAAGAACATTTTAAGACTGGAACCAGAGGACAAATAGATTAATCATTATGATAAGATACTAATTCTTTCTTATTTCTAGAGATATTTAAAGAAAAAATATAATCTTAAATTACAAATAAAAATCATACTTCATGTGTAGATTTTAATTTACAGTATAGAATCACGGAGTAGTCAGGTTGACAGGAACCTTGGGAGGTCATTTAGTCATCTGCTAGTCATCTAGTAGATAAACATCACATTTAATACAGCATAATCAGCTTTAGTAGAAAAATAATTAACACAGAGCACTTTTCCTTTAAAATATTCTTTCCATTGAGTGACATTATTCACATAGCAATAAAAATACAATTCCAGCTGAAGGCAATGCAGGCCGAGAGTTAGAGAGAAGTGACTTCACTGCTTTAAACAGAGGACGCTCCTACTGTAGGGATTCACAAGGCAGGCAAAAAAAATGTAGGGTTTTTTTTCCATTCTGTATTTCTCCTAATGAACAATGTTGCTAATATTTTGCTAATTTATCTTGCTGAGAGAAAAAATGAGAGGCCCTCAGATAATTCAGTATTACTTTGGGATGAAATGCTGCCAGGCCCAGATCCAGTTGCTCAAAGGAGACCCTCCCACCAACCTGGAAGAAGCTTGGAGCAACAGCTTCAAGATCTCAGACCCTGGCAAAAGCAGCAAAAGCAAGAATAAAGTGCGGGATTATTACACCAAAATGCTGGGATTTAAAGTCTCCACACTCAACACGAACGGCACGCAGAGACCGTCTGACTGAATTATGTGCAAGTTTCCGGCAGGTAAGCAGCCGGGCAGCAGCGGAGTGGCAGCCGCGTGCAACCGGCTGCGAGAAGTGCAGCAGCGGGGTGCCCCAGCCCTGCCGCGTCCCTGGGCACAGGCTCAGGCACACAGCTTGCTCACAGCTGGGACAGCAAACACTCTCACCCTTCCCCTCTCTTCCCATCAGATGGCATGACCCCTGCCATCCCTGGTTATAACCCCTGCTGCTTTCCACACTGAGAAAGACGCAGTTCCTTTAGCTGAAGTTCCCCCATGACGTCCTGAAGTCAAATGAAGCCGTCAGCAACCCGAATAGTAGTGAAGTGATTTACTGAGAGCTGCCAGCAGCACAGACTCGTGTCCCCCCGTTTTTCCCCCTGCGCCTGCCTTAGCAAAGGGGGTGCCCTTTCCCCTGGCGCCGCTTTGCGCAATTCTCCTTCGTCTCTGCTCCGGTCAAGTCCTGGCTCTGCTCAAGCAACGTTAAACTGTGATTTGGAAAAGTAAACCGTTTTGTTTCTCCCCAGTCTTCTCTTGGAGAATTTGATATCCAGGCTCTTCCACCACTCCGTGTCTTCAAAACATACTTTCACCTGTCCAACTCAGCAAGGCAAAACCAAGAAAGGGAAAGCATCTGCTCAACCAAAGGTCCCAAGGAAAGTTGTGAGATAACTCCAACCACAGGAATTAAGTACAGTTCATAAACCAAATGTACTAAACCTGAGAAAATTATTTTTGGAAGCCATACGCTAGCAATCTCTTCTCAGTGCCAACGTCCTGCAGTTTCAGGCAATGTAAAGGCCTTCCTAGTGCTGAAGCAATCACAACATTGTGCGCTCTTATTTCAGATTTCCCAAGGGGATGCAAGAGAAGGGGCAGTGAGTGGTGTATTCGAAGGGGCAGCTCTATTTATACCTCCTCTCTAACCTCTTGGAGTAGTAAGTAATGAAGAATATAGTAACAATAAAAGCAACGAATACGAAAGAGATAAAGGCTAATAATGATTTCCTGGTTCGAAAGAAGTGGCATTCAGGACACGAGGCAATGTCTTCTACGCACACCAACTCAGGAGTTTCAGGACCAGGAAAACCGTTATTGTCAATTATTTCTCTGTAATGCTTCATCGAAGGCTTTGGTTCATACTGATTTGCAACAAAACTGTAGAGACCATATTTAGGAGCGGTCTTGTCATTAAAAGAATAGATGAAATATCCTTGCAGGTTAACATTATCCGAGGTGTAAGCTGTGAAGGAAAACAAAGGGTTGAAGAAATGAATAAACGTCTCTCTGGTGTTCAAAAGCAGTACCGTATGCCAGTACATAAAGCAGGGGCAGGAGGATGTTAAACCCACATCTGCACTTCTCTTCCCCAAAATGAGGTAAGGTACCCGTACACCTAGGAAGTGTTTCTCATAAAAAGTAAGAATCTGTCAGCCATTGCCAGACTGTGATCTGTGAGTATTTATTTCCTTGTGCTCGGTAAACACAGCTGTGAGTGCGCGACTGTGTTTAATGATCAGCATGGAGTCTACCGTGAAAAGGTGGCTCGCTCTTTTATGTATGGAGGAATGCAGGTTTTGGTCTTCCTGCACCTGGATTTCTGCAACCTATTTCTCTGATAGCTCCTTCTCCCTTGCAGAGCAGCTCCTGATGGGGCAGCCAAGGAGCAGAGGATGCCAGGCTGCACTTCTCCCTGACAAAGGCACAGTGACACCAGAAAAAGATGCATCCATGCTGAGGTCACGTACTGGCGTGTCACCAGAGCTCGTGGAAAGGCTATGCAAATCATAGTCCTCTCTTGTTACTGACCCCAGTTTCTGACCTGTATTGGTCTTTATTGGGAACATGTTCACAATCCGTATTGCTAACTTGGCTACTGGAAGAGGTCCAGAAGCTGGAGCATTAACCTCGAGCCATCAGTCCTGCCTGACAAAACAATCAATCCACAGTAGTAAACACAAACTGTAATACTTTATCTCTCAAAATCATTATTTTTAACAAATTAAAGCAACATTCTCCAGCAGATCAACACAGGACTGAAACTAGCAATTGCTGAATTTTCATATGCCTCTGGAAATAATTCTTTCTGCACCCACATGCAAGACATTCAGCACCTCTAACCTACTTTTCAAGTGTAAAATGAAATAATATTTACCTGCCCTTCTACAGAGCCGCTACCCACGATAATTAGTTTGTGTTTGTAAAACTGCATGTGGATTTAATCATGTTACATAAATGGTTACTGCTGTTCTTTGTTTTCAGTTGGCAAAGATGTACTTAAACAGTGTACAAAGCACTTAAAAGCATAGCCTGAGTCCAAAGGGTCCTGTACTGTATTCTGGAATCATTTATTTGCACAAACCTGTTGGCTCCCCTGGAACAGTGCAGGTGAGCAACACTGCACGCACAAATGCTGCAACGTGCAGTCCCTGAAACCAGCTGGAGGAAGAAGGCAGAATAGGAACTTTAAGGCGAATGCACACATGTACCAGAGCCTCTCTCATTCCTCTCCAGCGTGACACTGAGGTAAGGACACAAGATTTGTAATCCAACTCAGTTACCGCACAGGGTCTTGCAGAAAAAAATGCAAGTTTTGGAGAAACCTGAAGCAGCCATGATGCCAAGGTTAAGAGCTTGCTTCCTGTGTGAGTGCAAGATGGACAAAATCCCAATACCATAGCGGGAGAAGAAAACAGAATGAAAAAGTTGGCATTACTGACGGATCAAACACTATGGAGAAGCATGTGATGTCAAAAGTGGCAGAGTGGGCTTTAGGGCAAGCATTATGGCTAGTTTGCAGGGACATATTCATCCATGATAGAGAAGGTGGAAAGATACGAAAATATGGCTTACATGCAATTGTTAAGTTGAAAAACATAGGAGCTATTTCCAAGCTGGATAGAGCGAAGGAAGTGAGTGGGGGATATTGGTACCAGATCAGTACAAATGACAAAGTTCTGCAAAAACCAGGGGAGTGTGCAGGTGTTCTGGCTAATGGGAACTGGGAGAAAAGCCCATATCCATACACGCTTTGACAACAGATGTGCCAAGAAATGGTACGGTCTGAAGTGGCAGGAAGGAAAGAAGCAGTACACTAAAACCGGATTGAAACCATAAGCCCAAATATAGCCAAGATTTGTTAAAAAGTACAGATGCAGAAAACATGCAGCCAGTGCTTCAAAATGCTGGAGAAGGAACTCTCGGGCATTTAATATTGATGTTCAGTAATTTGTGAAAAAGGTGGAAATTACAGAGGAGGAAGTTAAAGCCAATACTTAACAGAGTGGACAGGATGACCTAGCAAATTATGGAACTGCCAGCCATCCTTCACTACCTAGCAAAAGAGTGAAATAGATCATATAAGGCTTGATAAATAAGAATTACAGGAGATATAGATGATTAATGTCGATCATCTTAGTTTTATGAAAAATAAATCTTGTCAAACTAACTTGACATCTTTTTTATGAGATCAGCAGATCAATGAAAGTAATGATGTTTGATGTAATATACTTAGAACTTCACAAGGCAACTGACTTGGTATTATATGGCATTTGGATCAAGAAAATAGAATGTTACAAGGTCAAGGGGAGCCAACAATAAACAGATTTCAACTGGTCTCAAATAGAACTAGTAAGTGTAGAAATGTAATTGCAGGTAAGTAAGTGTCACACACAATAGGTGCATTTCTACTGTGGTCATGGAGACTGGGTTTTAGCAAAAAGGTATTTAATGATCTTAAACGTATCAGCAACCTGAAAGAAAAGTAAAACTATTTCTCACAAAGTTTGCAAACAACACAAAGATTAAGGACATAATTCAGCTAGTGTAGCAAGCTTTGCACAAGCAAGGGACTACCATTTGAACACAACCAAATGTGAGGATGTCTAAGAACAAGCAGACCATACTTTGGCAGAAGGAGTTCTGCCTGGAGGACAGGAATCTTTAACCAAGTTTACGAAATCTCAGTAGATAACCACAGAGTGTGTGTAACCAACCTGCTGCCATGGCCAAAAGGACCAATGGGTTGCTTAGATGTACAGAAGAGGAGTAAAAGGGTAAGAGGTTATGTTATACCTGCCTGAGATATAGGGGTGGCTGTGGCTGGAACAGTGTGTCCAGGTCTGGGTTTACCCCTTTCAAGAAGAACGATGGCAAATGGGAAAAAGTTTAATAATTTAAAGGTTCTAAATGATGTAAGGGACACAAAGCACTTTGTCTGTGTTAACCAGAGAAATAAATGAAAGTTTGCTTTCTGTCTGTGATACCCACACAGGTAAAATACATGGAAATGAACAACAAAATGGCTTAAAGTTGAAACTAAAGAAATTACTACTAAAAGTAGGATTTATATATATATATATATCTACACACTTACATATAAAAGCAGTAAATAATTACCCGCTGCATCAGCTTACAGTGAGATGTAGAAGATTCTTTATCAGTAAAAATTATCTCATTCAGGTCTTGTGCTTTTCTTAAAAAACAGCATGTGTTGTATGACAGGATGACTCAAAATGCCTCTGTTTTGTCTTATAATTCAGGAATCTCTGAGGCAGAGAAAAAGGCTGGTTTGGGTTCTGAATAGCAGGAAAGAGTCCAGGAAATGGCATAATGAGGTAGATAGCTGAATTATTATGAAGATCGCTGTTGGATAAGATCACTGTTGAGTAAGATACAGAGACAGCTGAGGAACAGAACTCATACCCAGCCCTGAGGCACACCAGTGGAGAGAAGCAACTAAGCAAAATAATGGTACAAGTGCTAAAAGAAGAAAATATGACTAAATACATGTGGAGCTACTCGCGTAACAGCTACTTAAATTTCTTAAATCCACAAAAAAGTTCTTCTGCTGTCTTATGCTGAAGATTATGGCTTATGTGCAAGGTCAGTCTTCCTGATATTTAGTGACACAAATCAATCGCAAATCAAAGTAAAAAACTATCTGTTATGCTGTACTAACATCTCATTTATGGTGTATTCTACACAGGAATTAGTTTTTTAAAGTTAAACATACTCTATCACGCAGTGTATACTAATACTGGGATTTGTGACATATAAACCATCTACGGTCCCTTACCTTTTAAAGCTTCATTGATGTAATTCTGTATGTAATACACTCTGAGCTTATCATGCACCATGTTCTGGTCATCGTCAATTCCATTAGCCATAACATAAATCGGGACATCGCCGTACTTTGATTTAACCCACTTGAGCAATTTACGCAGTCCCCAGGGCACTACTGCAGCTCTGCTGGGGGAGTGCAGCCATGTGATGTCATTGATCATTTGAACTTCAAGGTAGTGGTCGTATTTTAGTGCATCTTCTTTCTCCCAGCCCACAAGGGTAGTAGTGTAGTGACTCAAGGCAAAAAAATCAAATGAGCCCTGGATTAACTTCTTTTCGTCTTCTGAGAAATAAGGCAAGTGGAAATTATACAGGTCGACACTGTTTCTTCGGTGAAGCCACGCTCTCATCACCTGTGGATAGTCACCATTCCCAAAGATGGGCTCTGCAAGCCAGCCAACGTCAAACTCTAAAATTCTATCAGCAACATCTTGGTCATTCCTGGAAAATGGACAAGCTGGTTCTACCCAGTCAGCTTGCAGAGCTATAGATATTTTACCCTTCTGAGATCTCCTGAATTCTTTGTCATAAAGATGCCATGCTTTTGCATGGGCTTTCAACAGGTTGTGCCCTGCGGTGTACGTCAAGTTTTTCACAGATGGTTCATTCATTGTGATCCAAAATTTGACATGGTCCCCAAGACTTGTAAAGCAGAATCTGGCGTACTCAACAAAAGCCTGAACGGTCTCTGGGTTTTCCCAAGCTCCATATTTGGCAAGGGAAACTGGAAGCTCTTGATTCTCAGCCATCGGTTGCCATAAAGCAACAACAGGAGTTATGTTAACTCTGAGAAGTTCACTAGCAAAACACTGATAATAATGTACGAGCGTGTGGTTGATTAGAGAAAGGTTCCCTAATGGAAGAATTAAAGACCACTTAAGCGAAAAATGGAAGTGTGTGACATGCATTTCTTGCAGAAGAGAGATCTGGAGCCTGATAGCAGCAAAGTCAACACAGTGACGCTTGCGTTTCGAGGTGAAAACTCCATCCACTTTAATAAGCTTCTTTGTCTGGTGAACGTCCCACACATAAACATTAGAGTCAAGAAACTGGGCGGGCGTTGTGTCTACCTAGGTAGAATAAGAAACATACCAGATTCAAGCTGTTTGTTCGAGGTAGATGGCAACATCATAACCATTAGGCACGATGTAGTGAAAGAATATCCTAAGTCAAAACTTTGCATTTAGCACCTCTCTCGCATCTCTGATACAATAATATCTCTGGATCATATGAATTAATTAATTTTCTGTTGCCATGTGGTGTCAGAAAAGTACCAAATTTATACATCATTGTCACCCTACTTTCCAAACAAGCTTATGCTAACGGTCACCACGTTTGTATCTTCTCCAGAGTGCTCCAGTCTGTAAGGGAAACAAGGGATTGCTCAAGGATAAGGCACTAAGCCTGTGAAAGATCTCCAGAGCAGCAGATCTTCAGAAAAGACTACAGTAATTTTAAAAATGTTTTTCTTTCAAGATTAACAAGGGCCTACACAGAGACTGTCTGTTGTAAATTACCCACTAGATTCAGTTTCAAGACCACTCCCTGAATGCAGTAAAAGAAATAATGAATGCAACATCATTTCTGTGTTCTTTTCCTGACTATGATGAAAGATGAGTAATGCTCTGCACTTGATTTTTAGCACGAATTCAGTTGACAAGCAAAATTTTTCCTTCCTGCTAAAGACATCCTTTTTTATTTAACTCATGCTGAACTCATTTCCAAGTTATTCCAGCAGGCTGTTGAAGTCTGAATCTTTTTTTTTTTTTTTTCAGGCCTCCAAGTAAACCCACTATATGTTACTCCAACAACAAATGCACTTCCCGTAAGTCTTTAGGGCTTCAGATGTCAGAATTTCTTGTGTGACATACTGACACAGGAGAAGATGAGCTTCTCAGGGTCCCACAGAATTATAGTTTCACTTTTTAATGAATATTACAAACACAGTAAGGACTAAAAAATGGAAAAGTGAATTACTTAAAACAGTGCACAGTGTAAAATCTCTACACTCTAGTGTAGCTCTTCCAAGAAAGATCCAAACTACAAGATACTGGTACCACATGTGTTTATTTGTCCTTTTTTACATTTTTTTTCTTTGGTGCGCAGTTTCCCCATGAGTTCAGATTTCCTTGTCCTGCCCTCTGTTTGAAAAGCAGGTGTCAGCCTACAACCAGTGTTCAACTTGTAGCCGAGGCTCTGCAGACTGTATAAAGAAGCTGCTGAAAATCAGTTGCTATTTTCTCCGGAGAGGTCAGTACTGTGCTTATAGAAGAAAGTAATAAAAACCAGCATGTCTGAGGGAAATTGCTTTTCTGGAGAACTGTCCCTTGAAGATTACTAAAGCATGCATTGCCACTAATACTGTGGGAATGCTGTCAAAAGCGTTTTTCCACTGTGATGCATCTACAAATCACACTACCTAAGCCTTACAGCACAAAATGTTTGAATGGCCTTTTGAAATGAAAATATTCAGCTTTGAAGGTTTTGGGGATAGGAGGGATTTTTTTAGCTGTCTTAGGCTGACTGACTCCACAACTTTATAGCTATTATCGATCCCAAAGGCAGCAATTCCATTTCCAATCCCTAATCTATCTGGGAGCTAGGAAGATAATGACTGTTGAATTTTCTTGGAAATCAGTATACCAGGTAAGAAGGCTGCAGTACTTTTCAAGAGAACAAAGTCAGATCTTACTTTTGGAGTGAGAAAAAACAAACAAGTCCCCTATACTCTAGCCTTAAGAAAGATTCTGTCTGTGGAAAATCTAAATGAAAAATTTTGTTCTTGGATCAAGCCTCAACATTGAATTTAACTGCACCTCTTTACTGTGGTTGGAGAAGCCCTGCAAGCCAAAACAGCATCTAAGAATTACAGAGCCAAACTGTTAAAGAGACCTAAGCTACGATTTTAACTCATGCTATGAAGTCTTAAAATTTGAAAGATTCTCCCAAAGTATCAGATTTAGTTGAAATAAAGAGTGAGAGCTATGAAATGGATCAATGATCTAGCTAGGTGCTATCCACGGGCACTGCAGGCCTCCTTCAGATACAGTACTACACAAAATAGCGAAGAATAAATAGAGAAATTGCATCTAAATCTAACATTGTTTACTTTTTTATACACACAAGCCCTGTAACAACAGTATCATGTTATATATGCATAAGATGCCACTGGAGTTTTAAGAGCTTTCGGGAAGTTTTCTAAAACATATTATCACAGCAGACAAATATATTACCATTAAAATTATGGACGTGAAAAAGCAGTAATATTTCTCATTTCATAGACTAGGACATTTGGAAATACACTTTAGAGGCTCTAATCAATTTCCATTTGAAAAGGACTGACTTCCAGTAACTGTTCACACAACATGTCCAAGGAAGATGAGCATCAGCCCCCTTTCGATTTCCATACGTTTTTCTAAAGTGTTATTTATCATATCTCAATCTGACTGGATCTCCTCGGTCATACACAGAGAGTCTAGTGAAGACTGAAAGAAACAGTGTTTGGCCTTGTACCCATCTCCTTGCAGCACTGTGGTAATATATATCAGCAAAGACATTCTACCTAGCAAATTTATCAATATGAACTTGTGCGCTGATCTGGCTGGACAGCCTGTCAGCTTTATCATCAGACTCACCTGAATGTAGTTGTCAACAATTCCCCAGGCAAAGCCACAGGGAAAAATACCTTCTATGGGCTGATTTTCAGGCAAAGGTGGGAAGCCGTTTTTTTCTATCAGCTTTTGATAGAATAAGACAGAAGATTTGGGCATCAACTTCTTGTCGTGGCTTTGAAAATCAACATAAAACAGCCCACGTCGAATGCTGTATCCCCTGTGCCATTCAAAGCCATCCAGGAGTGACCAGACTGTGTAGCCAAACACATTAACTCCATCGTACCGGATGGCTGGGAAAAGAACAAAACCAAACTTATCACAGTGCTCATTTTCCCTATGTAGATTACACCGTATCAGCAACGTTGGCAGTATTCACGTGTAAGAACAATGCAAGAGGTCAGATAAGTATCTCAAGGCCTGACCCAAAGCCCATCGGGAAAGATATTTCAACTGCACCAAGGAAGCTGCAGGTCATGAGTGCACTGTGCAAGGCAGTAGAGGTACCTGGCTTGGCATTAAACGGGCCAGATTTAGCAAGAGAAGCAGTGCAGCAGTGGTTTGAGCAGTGCTGCTAATCAGGCATGCCAAACCTCAGCCTCAGAACAGAGCACGCTACGCTTGAACTGCTTGCAGCAACTGAGCCAGTAATTGCACTGCACTGCACTCTGCAGCTCGTTCTGGGGTAGCTTAAGTGCCATTAATGCAGACTACCCTGTACACAAGCAAAAGTTACACTCTTTTTTCTCCTTCTCCTCCACTACAAATACATTTTGAGAAAACCCTGACAGCACTTTTGGTGTGCCAGTGAATTTTTAGTAACACATTTTAAGTAGAAGTGATAATGCAGGAAGACCCTCATTATTTGATAATTCTGTCTCTTTACATCTTCTATGGCATAGCATTTTCCAGCTTAAATATTTAAGGGTTTCTAAAAAGATGCGTATGCTCTAGATCCACTGTTTGACTTTTAAGAAATCATCACACACTTTGATGGTTAATATCAGAGTCTACCGGCAACTGTTAGTGTTGTCAGCATTACAGCTTTATTTTAAGATTTCAAATGATACTCACTTTTAGTTGTATTAAACACTGAGATTCAGCAAAATGTTCCTGGGCTCAGCTTCAGGAAAGCACAAAGGAGTATGCTTATTTTAATTACATAATTAGACCCACCCTAATTCAGCAATGCATTTAAGCACATTCTTAAATGTTCTTTTGAACTTGAGTTTGGCTCTGCAGCCAGCAGAGTTCATCTTTATTACCCACCATCTTCTGTGAACCCAGACTAGGTACTGCCTGAACATAATATTTTCCAGTCTAGTAATACTGAAAGCATTATTTCAGGCAAACAGAATATCAAGATCCTCATTTCCTGGTTTTATTAATGTACTTCATTACAATCAGTTATGAAGGACCACATGGATTCTTGATTGTAACTCTGTTTGAAACAATTAAATGAACTGCAGTTAAATAAGCAATGAACTTGGCCCAGACTCTATCAGAGGTCATGAGAAAACATCTAAGGAAATGGAATATTTCTCCTCCTAAAGGCATAATTCTTTTGTGTTTGGCAAACGGCAGTATTTTTCTAACTTCTGCATGCATCCATGATGACATCTGCCGTACCAGCAGAGTAAAAGCCAATGCAGGTCCATGTTGTGAACCAGTCTCAGTGAGAATTTCTCTTTGAATAGCATCTCACCCTTCCTGTAAGTCATTGCACAGCACTCCCACACTTCCTGAGCACCTCCTAAAAATTCTCCTCAAATCTTTCTTTAAAAATGTATTAACTTTTAACTATCACCTGTGAAAGAAGCAACTTGAAAAATTTTTGGAAGTTCAAAAAAGTCTGGAAATATCACAGTATCCCACATGGACTGCATGTTACTGAAAAACCACAATGAAAATTATTGTCTTTTTTTTTTTTTTTTTTTTTTTTCCTTTGTCTATCTCCCCATTTTTTTATGTCTGTTAGTGTGCAAGCCAGGCTGACTGAAATCTAACTGCCCTTGCTTCTGAAACTGAGTGGCCTTGTCCATACTACCTTCAGGAAATAACTCCTGACCTGAGTAATCCCCCCCCTCAGTATGCTACTGTGCGGGCCAGAACTCTGCCAGAACCAGGTTAAAAATTAAACAGCAGTTCAGCTCACACTTTGTTTAGCTCACTAGCATAGAAACAGTGCGAGAAAATATGGCAGACCCATAAGCATCCAATACAGATCCTTAAAACCCTCTGCTTAGCTACTGTCCAACCCCAGGGCACGAAGGTGAGGTGTGTGAAGCCTGCAGCCCCTGCTTCCATGTGGAAGGTGCCTAGGGATCTGTTTTCACTCTGAACAGACCTGAGAATAGCTCAGTCCCGGCCTGTCAGGGGCCTGGATGTTCCTGTTCTCCTTAAGACCCTTTGAATTCAGACCTGCTAACTCCCCACATAATGACCTAAACCCCTCAGCTAGTCACCATGGCACAGAGGAGCCTGCATGCCCTCCTGGTCAACAGGGTCCACTTTACAAGGAACAATCAATTTACTTGTTGCACCAGAGACAGGGCAGGGAAGTGAACACGACCCTAGAGTAAGTGGTTAGATATCCACCCATGTGAGAAGACATCTCCAACCAACCAGCAGGTCCAATCAATATTTAACTACTTTATATTATAGCTCTATTTACTCTATTCAACTCTAAATGGTACTTGGAAAAAAAAAAAAAAAAAAAAAAGAAAGAAAGAAAGAAAGATCAATAGTAATAAATAGTAAAAGGATTTAGGGCTGTGAACCCCCCCCAAAAAGAACCTTTCCCAGAGCCAAAAAAAAATTTAAAAAGATTTATGGAGCTTGTTTACAGCAGGCAGTGTCAGAATGGACATCTACATCAGCACTTCAACTGAAAGCAGGAGCACACTTTTGCACTTTTGACTGAATCGCCCTCATCACACTTTGGTTCACATCACAGAGTGGTCTCAGGGTGTATGACCTGGGTTCCTTTAGGGGAAATTAACCCCAAAATGGGCTTCAGGAATGTATACAGGCCCTTAACACCAACTTGTTATTCTATAGACTTGCTCCAACAGGGCTGCACTTATTTGTTAACATAGATATAGAAATAAGTAGTTTTGTCTGAACCAGTGCATATACATAAGATACCGGCCAGGCCTAGGAAGCAGCAAAACCACATTTATGTGGCCCTGGGCATAAATTAATTATCCTTGCTTCTCGGTGCTATAGCTCCAGTGCCATTTTACTGCCCTGTGAATGCTGGAGTGAAACTCATGTTAAATAGCTCACGAATCTCTACATTACAGTGCTTTATTTCACTGGATGGCCACGTCCAAAGTCTCTGAGAGGCAACATCAATATCTGCCTTTGTCTTTGGTCTTTAATGTTGTCCAACAAGACTGATCACAGCCAACACGATGCCTTTTGTGAATCTTTTTCAACTAAATTCCCCTATGTATTGCATAGACAACTCTGGTATTTACAATGAATTTTGCAGATTCTAATGGCAGAATATATGGGTGCAATAATTTTTATCGTAATGATGCTAAAGACCCTTCTGCAGATCCAGTCTGTCTCTGCTTTTTTTCTGTAGCAAGTTTAGCCAAGTGCTAGTATTCTTAAGTCAGTATGACAAGACGGTCATGTTGTTGTTATTATTACTTACCGAGTGGCACATTAAAAGGAAAGAAACTCTGTAAATTAAGATTGTTTCCAGCCAGCTGTGATTAAAAGGCATGTATGCATGTCCAGCAGTTTGTTAACTAAGCAGAAATATCGTTAACAAGAATATGACCCCTTCATGAAGATGAGCTCTTCATCTGACTTCATGCAAACTAGTAATACTGTACTTGCAACAGTTAGTAACTGTTTTGTATTACATTCTTCCCGTGTTCGATGAATTGGCTCATATATTTATTCATCTTTTAATTTATTTGCAATAATTAGGTTTCTAGAATAGTAGATGTAACAAATGTGGGAATCCTCTGCATCTTCTTGAGTGCCGAGAATAAAATGAAAGTCATTTTTGCTCATCCCCTGTATGAAAATGGCAATGTAACACAATGGCTGTCTCATCTGAGCTAGCAGCTACAAAAATACTGTTTTTAAAAGCAGAACAGTAAACTGTAGACAAGTAAATCAATTATTAAATCTTAAATTAAGAAATTAAAAAACAATGAAAGTGGAAATGGGAACCCCAACAAAGTATTGGTGACTACTAGGATTGAAAAAATATGTTTTGCCACAAGGAAAATAGAAAATAACTCTCATAAGCTAGTGTATTTCCCTTACTGTTTGGAAGAAATGATAGGTTAACAATTTCAATAATTTAGATTCTATAACTTCAAATAGTCAGTTCTCCATAAACTGATATAAAATCAGTTTATTGTGATTGATGTCCAGAGCTATACCAATGTAAAATTTGTGCAAGGGTAACACTGAGATGTGGAATGAAAAGGTTCCAATTTTTCATCTAAAAATGTGTTCTTTCAGCCTTGTATTTTCTTCAGAGGAACTCTGATTGCATAGTATTTACCTTCCCACATAGATATTCTTATGTTTTGTACATATGCATTCATACATCTAAGATATGGAAAACAACTATAAATAAATAACACAGTAAACTTCCCTAAATCCACTGAGAGTATTGTTCACACAAGTTTTGCACTTCCTCCCACCAAAAGAAAGCAGAAATTTTCCTACAGACTTCAAAGACAGCAGCATTGAGCTCACCAAATGCTACCTGCAGATATTAAGGGTCTTCAAGAGCTGAAAAGAACAAACCCAGGAAAGGGATTTGGAGTCTCATTTCACAAGTGCCAAGATGAATGTTAAAGACTAAAATTAGTTTTCAGCCTGGTTCTTTAACATATCTCTGTAGGCTATTTTGCATTATGATTTTGTCAAGCATGTATTAATACAACCTCAGTCCTACCTTTTAAAGTTTCCATAATGAACTTTTTGAGATAGTAAATATATTTGGCATCATCTCTCTTGGTGCTACCAGAAACAAACCAGCTGTTCTCCACAATGAATATTTGGGGGTTGTTATATTCACGGCTTATCCAGTAAAGGAGCTGCCTCAGGCTTATTGATTCCAGCTGCTGGAATTTCATGTGGGAGTCCAGGAGCTGGAAACTCAGGGTTGCTCCAAAAGAAAGAGCAAAAAAGTCTGCCGTTCCCTTGATATACTTCTTCTCAACTTCACTGAATTCGGGCAACAGAGATGAGAGGTTGCTCCTCATGCTCTCTGGATAGTCACCGTCAATAAATATGGGCTTAGCAAACCAGCCAAGCACGAAATCAAGGGATTTTTGACATTCTTTTATGTTTTTTTCAGTCATACGTTGAGGTTTTATCCAGTGGGAGCTAAGAGCAATGGACACCCTTCCTCTTTGAGTCGGACGAAAATGGTCATTGTAGAGATGCCAGACTTTAGCATGGGCCTGTTGAAAAGAAACACTGTAATTAGTGCACCTGAAATTCCATTTTAAGTAATACAATTAGGATCAAGTACTGATGTCCAGTGTCACATAGTAACCGCATAAACATGGCATTTGAGGACTCAGCCTTATTCACTCATCAGCAGTTTACAACTCCTAAATTAATTTCTCATTAATACCATATATTGACCAGAAATTGCGGGTTGGTCAGGGAAAACAGCATCTGCGTTCCATGAGATACTATTCCAGGCACCAAACACACCTTTAGCTAGACAACTTTATTAACTTTTATTAGAGTTCTGATATACTTACAGTATTTACAAAAATGAAAATGCATTTAACTAAACACGTTTCAAAGTATGTTTTCATTATAGGAATGTCACTTTATCTGTAGTTTCCCAGATGTATAAAGAAGTAAGGTCTATTCTTAAGAACTGTCCAGAGCTCTCAAACAATACAGGACAAAGAAACAGTCTTGAACTTACTCCTCTTTGAACCAGAACACACAGTATAGGAAAAACTACCAATCTGGGTTTTAAAAAGTCTTGTGGAAAAAAAGTTACCACAGCTCCTGAAAAATTATTCCAATAATTCAATTTAATTTATTTTATTAAAATTTGCTATGTATGTCTAGCATCAGATTTCAACCGCTTGTCTTGGTACAATTTTATCTGTTACTGTGAGAATTTTTTCTACCAAATTTCCTTCCCATGATCTTACAGAGTCAGTTGAAACAGTCTCTTGACTTTCCCTTTGAAAGCTAAATAGATTGAGTTCCTGGAGACCTGCATTATCTTCAGGCATAGCTTCAAGCTCTCTAACCATTCTCAGTGCTCTCCTCTGATTCTCTTCCAATTTGTCATCATCTGTCTTAAACTGCAGAAGCAGAATTGGATATAATATGCCAGTGGTAGTCTTGCCAGCAGTAAAACCAGAGACAATTTAATACACTATTTCTACTTACGTGGCCATAGCATTACACTGTGAGCATATGCTCATCTCAACTACCAATCTCCAGATCCCTTCACCATCGAAAACATATTTTCTCTTTGCACCTAGCTTATCAAAGAATTTTGACTGCTCTGTGAATCAACATCCTATCTTTTTGTCGTTTACACATTAGTAGAAATTGTAATGCTTTTTTCTAGGTCATTGATAAAAAGATAAAAAGTATGAGATCTAAAAATTAGAATAAAGCCTGCCTAATAACTATTCCTAGTTTACATTTGCATTTTGAGATTTAGCAGTTACTATTTGTTCATGTGTGTTTGTGATAACATAAACCTCCATTCTTGCCATTCAAAGTCACACGTGTGATGAATATATATGACATTATTAATCAAAGTGTCACACACATTTTAGCCCTCCCTGGAATATAAGACGTATAGAAAGCCTTATAATTCCACTCCATGCAGTTGATATGTTGGTAAATTTTATCATTGATAGCTGATGTTCACAGTTTCCTTTTCATACACTCTTACCATTCAAGCTCTGAACCACAATGATTTTCAGTTGCCAGCATTACTAGGGACATTGAGCAATTAAGATTATTAATCATTTTTGACACAGACACTGTTAATTACCCAGGAAAAATAATTAATTCTATCATTCTACTGTTCTTGCAGAATTTTAATTCTCACTGCTGGGAGAAAAACAATTGGAAGTGAAGGACAGCTAAAGGTAAGATCAATAATCCAGGCTCTGTTCAGCTGCCCCCATACAGAAACCTGCTGCCTTTGAGTCATCATGGGGTATATAAAACATCTGTGCAGACCTGACACTGGCTCTAGAGGAGACTAGACCCATGCCCTTTTAGAGTGTTCACCGAAACCCAAAGAGAACAATCTTGGAAACTGTGAATCACAGTACTCACCTATGTGTGTGTATCTGAATCAGGCTCTCAGCTGCAAACTTCAACGTACATGCTCTCATTTATAATACATCAATAGCTCAAATAAATGTGATGCAGTTCTACCATCTGTCTATACTAATACAATGGATTCTGATGCTAGTGAGAAACTAATTATAGTAACCGCTTCAAAGTCTCATGTCAAAAATGAGAGCTGACCTAAGCACAGACTTAATTTTACTTCACACCGAAGCTCCATTACACTGATGAAAGAAAAAACCATTATGTATCATGACCAAAATGCTACACACGCGACACTTTAGATATTATTTTTAAAATACCATTGGGAACAAATGTGCCATCACTTGCAACTCAAATTTGCACACTCAAATGTTCCCTCATAAAGGTGCCATATATTCTTCCTCTCTTGGACTTGACTCATCTCCAGATTTCCTGTCTCAAATGTTAAGACATCACCAAGCACACTCTCAAACACACAATTTCATCACAGTCATCTGCACTTGCAAGTATGCTACTCACCCACAGAACACCTCAAGGACTATAGAGGACTTGCTCCATATCTCTCGTCCCTCCCTGCTCCTATCAGTGGAGAGAGATCTTCCAGCATTTTAGTAGCTTTGATTCTACCATGAAGAAAGGAAGAAGGGAATCCCACAGGCTATTCCCCTACACAGATAAGGAGGTACAGTTTACTCCCTTGTTGCAACGAAAAAATATGAAGTATAGCAACGTGGGATTATCTCACTGAACTTTACTTTCTAAGCAAGTCATCTAGTCTGCCTCTTTAGAAAATGAGAACACTGTTGTCTAAGATATGCAGGGTGAGTCACTCTTTGGGAGTCCATCTCTCTTCACTGATGACAGACAAAACCTGTTACTCAGTTTAGACAAGACGTTCTACAGACAGATGAAAGCAGTCAAGAAAAAGCCCACTTAAATGTCTGCCCTCTGGAGTGTGCATGAAGTGGAATTATATTATTTCCATTAAAAAAAAAAAAAAAGCTAAACATAGAAAATAGTGCATCAAAGTCCCCAGCCTCTGTGGACATAGATTAAAGAAGCAGTTCAAAACCACACAGAAATTGAGCTGGAAGAAGCCAGTGACAGAGCAGAGAGTCTCTATGGAAATCTGGGACAGAATTCATTTGCCTAAAATTAGGCGTCTAATGCAGTTTTAGAGACTTCAGAGTGTTCCAGCCTGAATTCCAGCCGGTTTCAGAAAGCTCTGGGTCTCCCGTAAATCCTGTCACACTTCCCATCTCCACAGACACCTGAGATACTACTGAATGTCGAATGATAATTTGCACCTATACCTACCTTCAGGCAAATTAATCCCACTCCTAGGGTGGGACTCAATTTTGTGCTGAAGACACCTTGTAGTTCACTGTCCACACGTGAGTCAGATGCCCAAGCTCCCACCAGCGGCCACGGAGATCTGAGGCTCCACTCAGCTGCCTGCACACAGGCATCTGGCTGCCACTCCAGAATACAGGCCTAGCTCACATCTGCCATTTCCCTGCAGATGTCCTAAACAGCCTGGGAAGTCCCACATGGCACTACTTATACCGAGCTAATGGGATCCCACTCCAAGTCACCCTACTCAGTGGAGTCCAGCGAGTGACTCCCCGGTACAGTACAGCACAGCAGCCACATGGTCACTCTCAGCAGGAGCAGCCCCTAGGTCCCAGTTACTGTACAGGTTAACAGCAGGATTTAAGGTAGGTGCCTACACATTTTTGAGATGCCTTACCTGAATGAGTCTGGCAGACACGATTCAGGACCCAATGGGAGACCTTGGTCTTCTGGAGCAGAAACTGGAGGCCAGGCAGAATATCCTAGGGTAGCTCAAATAACACCACACCTCTGCTGGGACAACTGGAACCTTCTAGAAGTCTATTACCTATAACTGGATCTTAGCCTCCCAGAATATGTGCTGAGAAAACAAGTAGGAACTAACCAACCATCAGTTCCTTTGTATTTATCCGAAATCTTACTTCCTAATCTCAGTGACTTGCCTATCAATACTTATTTTTAGTTCACATCTGACTAGGATTAAGATCATGGTGACCCCTCCCTCAGTACTTTTACTGATATACAGCATGGTGATTCCATGTCCCTGGTTTTGCAAGGTGCTGAGGGGTCTTACTTTGCTCCTTGTTAGCTCAGGCAGGTGTGCAGTGCTGATAGACCATTTGGCTTGACTGGAAAACCTTACTGAAAACAGCTGGCTACAGACTGGCTCTAGGAAGGGTTGTGCAGTCACCCATGTGTTGTGAGCAGAACTAACTGCTAAAGCCTGTGTGCTGGTTTCCAAGCTGCTGAATTTGGGTGGTCTTGTCATTATTACTTGCATTCAGAGACTAGCACATATTGTTAGGTACCAAGCACTTCACTGACACCTTTTTAGGGGGGATACTACCCTATAATCTTGAACCTGCTGAGACTTCATCTAAACTGGAATTAGGAAAGCTGTGGATTAGCATGGGTGCTCTTTGTGCTTACTAGTGTCTATTCTTCAGGAACAGACTGTAAGGAAAACTTTTAAACAGCATTTACTTTACCCTTAATATGCTTTCATCACTAAGAAAATCATGAAGTTTTATAGCACCATGAAAATTTTTAAAAGTCTCAAAATGTAGCTTGTTCTTAGCTAAGCCCATTTGTATGTCTGTACTTCACTCATGCTTCAGGCTCTGACACAGTCTCATTTTCAAGTTGATAGGTTCCTCTTCCCCTGACTTTCCCACCCAATATACCTGTCTGGACTATGCTGTACCTATACTCAACTTGTGAAACTCTGATACTGGTCATGTTTGTTCATCCTTAAAGAGATCTCTCTGTGAGTCAAATTCACTAATGCCAAAATCGAGCCTTGATGAAGTGTCAAACACATTTTCAAGGCAGAAATCCCCCTGCAACGCCACAGGATAGGCTAGTCCAAATTCCTGCAGTGATAGCAGAAATAATTCAACACAGGCAAAGAGGCTTCACAATCTGACAGTCATGTCCTACTCTATTGCATGACAGATCCACATAGTCCAAGAATCATTAGGTAAAGTCAATTTAGTAATATACAGACATTTGTTTGCTTGACTGCTCCTCTAAATTCTTGCCCAAGATTGTTAAGACCTTT